ATTTTGTAAAAAAAACCAAAAACAAACGATTTGGTATAAATTGAAGCATGGTCGTATGCCTATAACGGTTACGGAAAAAATCCCAAAAAGTGTAAATTAAAATTACTATGTTATTCTTTCCAATGGAGAATAAATAAACTGTTGTAGCATGCTTGTATATGGGTATATTAAAATATTTTTAACACATACGGGCCTTTACTTCATATCAAGCTATCGATATTTAAATAAAACACACCTTATTGTCTTCCCTGTAGCAGCAAACCTGTACTCATTAAAATTAATTCAGGTTGTCAAGTGATCGAAAACTCGCTCAAAAATATGTAATTTACAGACTTCTTTATTTTCACCCAACGCTCTAAATAAAACATGTGATTAGAATGTCTTCCATTTGTTTAGATTTTATGTTTACATATATTGCGTTGTTATTTCGTCACAAACATGGCAACCCATAAGGTCCATGTAATTTTTTAGATTTTCCCTACGATGCACACGAGCTGAGAAAAAATCTATATATTAATTTGAAACTTTTATTTAAGGGAATAATTTGGTGAAGTTCCAGCCAGGTGGATAGAAATTCGCTTAGTCTGCAGGTTTGCTGCGGCTGGGGTATATTGTATGTTATTCCATAAAATAGAATACCTTCTAAAATATACGAAATCGATAACCATATAATGCATTGCATGTTTTGTATGTTTGAGAGATAAATGTTTGTAGTATCTATTTTTTATTCTCTAAAAATGACACTAATTATTACAAAAGGTGTCTTAAAGAGGTTATACATTACGGGTAAATTATTGTAATTTTTTTAAGAGTCCCTAAGACAACGTAATGATTAAAACGACGATACGATAAGTCTATTTGAAACAATCATAAATCGTATTGTTACGTCAAGTTGTGTAGTGTAAAGTTGGTAAAATATAAGTTGAAAAGTTGAAGTAAAGGAGCGTCTGAAGAACACCTGAGCTGGTTTATGTACCAACCATGTGCAGTGTAAGGCTGGATGCATATTGTACAAGAAGGGCAATCAAATATTCACAGCTCCGCTGTACAAGCTTTTACTGCGTCAATGACAATTTCCCGCCCCCGTGCAAACAGCTGTTCAAGCGTTCAAGCTATAATTCTTTTACATACAGATTCCCTGTCGAAGTATATTTGACTGTAGGTTAGACGTTTGTACTTTGAAAGTATGCGATTCTTGCCGTTTCATCTTTTCCATAGACAAGGTACATAATGAATATAAAGGGGTGGATTGACATAGTTTACCATGGATAAAAATATCGCGATATAAAATACCACAATATTTTACCCCTACATGTTATGTTAATATCATCATTGATCCAAGAATAGACATTGTGTCTACATCCTAGATAAAAGAGTGGACAGTGTCTATTCTTTAATCTATGATATTATCTATAAGGATCCACTGGAAACGATTTTAAGACACACACATGATCTGTCCTTATGATAACGAGCGTTTTGTTATTTACAATATTTATTTCTTATTAAAGTAAATATATTTACACTTTAAACTAAAATATAACAATCTATTTCCAGCTATTTCTTGTTCTCCGATGTTGTAATCAAATATTTAAATACAATTCGCCAAATTACAAATAAAGAGGCAAAACTAGTCATAAATAGTGCACATGTTAAATGTACACCAATGTGAAATAATGACTTCTTACTGTACGTTGCTTCAAATCCATATTGGAATCTAATACAAGTACTCACTTAAAAAACATTAGTGTGGGCTGTCAGATATTAGATTGATGAGTAGGCATAACCTTCAAATTTAAATTTCTCAATGTAAATCAACGAATGCACTCAATAAACTACACAAACTTAGTTATTAAACTAAGTGATACAACTAAACAACTGGTTTTCTGTAGACAAATGTAAGTGCGAACTTGTATACACAGTACAGTTACATTGCCCAGTAAACTTCCCTTCTGCGTCCTCTCCTCTTTTATATAGTATTTCTGTAAACCTGGATAACAACCCAGGAAATGATTATTCTAAGCCTCTTTGGAACCAAAACATGTTCCCGCAAGAAACACTTAGCTTGTTATCATTCCAAACTTGGTTTCCAGAGTAATTATGTTTATTTATCATGGCGAGAAGCTGATATAATGAGGCAGAGAGCAATAACATCGCACGGGCACGCCAATGTTACTGTTCCCCCTCCCCCCTCACCAACCAGCTGTTTATTTATTTGGTGTTTTTATACGAGGGAAGGTCTGGAATTGAACCACGGGAAAGCGTTTTGCGGAATCGCATTGTTGAATTAACCAAACCTCGGAACATGCTTTGTTTTAGGGTAAATATTTTGTGAAATCCCAAATGAATGGGGAAATAACATTTTGTAAAATAGAAAATGATGACTTTCGGATCGATGTTTTTGTAAAAGAGCTCAAACATTTACGTTACACGATGTATGTAAACGTAAATGTTGTCATATTATGAGAAATGTTTGTTTGTATGTTTATATGCTTGTACAAAGTTCTCGGCTTCGACGATTTCCTTCAAATGTTGAAAATCATTTCTGGCCTAAAAACGGGTTTAATGCAGGTAAAACTGCAAAAAAAATCTAAATACGTAAAAAAATTAAATTGAAAGTAACATTTTTCAAACGTTGGCTTTATGGGTTGCTAGTAGTGGCCTTATGGGGAGCGAGCTGGTGTAGTGGTTAGAGCGCGGGACTTCAGTCCCAGAGGTCCTGGATTCAAATCCCGCCAAGTCACAAATGGAGTTTATCTAAGTGACATTGCCGCAACCTCTAGGTCTACCCTGAAGTAATGTGAATGTGAAAAAATCCGTGCTCGTGCCTAGGACTAAAGAATGGGCTGCTAGGTAACCATTGGTTGAACAAAATGACGAGGAAAAGTCTAAAACTGTTTGTGCAAAATATTTCACATTGAACATGTTGCATACACACGTCTCTCATGAGCGAGTTTAAAGTAAAAACGCAAAGTTAAACATCTGAGCATTACAACTCCAGTCAAGACATTCGTAATTTGCCAGGATGTGCCAGCTGTGTCAAGCCCAAGTTTGTGGTGTAGAGCCATCTGATTTTGAGGGAACTGACAAACTTGTGAAACCAATGACACAAAACTTATCAGACTGACTTTTGACACCAAGTCAGTAGATTTGACTCAACGCGGCACTGTTAGGAAAATTACAATTTCCAAGCATGAGGTGAAGTAAATACAATGTTATTGTTTCGGGAGAATGGTTAGAGTACTTGCCTTTAAAACTGATGGTTGCCCGTTCGATTCCAAGTAAAGTGAATTCTGGACCCAGAATCCAAACTAATGTCTAACAATTAATTATGTTTCCCAACAACATGTCAACGTCAGATAGTAAGAAGAGTGGGTTTGAACAGTTTTTTTGTATACGGATACATGCAAAATGCCACTGGAGTAAACACACACCATTAATGGCTTGCTTCACATGAATTACATAAATTAATTATAGTCCTAAGTCGAGAACAGCTTTGCACTGCATCACTGGTACAGTATTACTTTTTGAGTGTAATTTTTGTCGCTTGACATAATTCAATTTTGGACGCTTATTCTGGTTGGCGAAAGTTCAGGAAATAAATCCCGGTATGTTCAAATAGATTAAAGTTCAAAATATTTCAAAATTGTGAGATTCTCGCTGTATTTTAATTTGTATCCTTACACAACGTACATTATGATGAATATTACAGTTTTTTATTATGTATAAAACATTATCACGATATAAAATATTACGATATCTTACAACTACATGTTATGTTACTATAATGAGCCACTGGAGACGATTTTAAGATACATGCATGATCTGTTCGATATGTATAAAGAACGTTTTGTCGTTTACAATATTTATTTCTCATTACCTAAAACTTTTTATTTGTTTTTGAAGATCGAAAACTAATCGGGTAATCATTCTGAATAAAAAAAAAAAAAATGTAATGATATTTCAAAAATCCGCGAGAAAGAAGTTATACAAAAGTAACGTATTAATGGGGAACCAATCTTGTTATTTTTGTTTTATCTAGGATAAAAGTGGTTGAACATTATTATTTGGAATATAAATGGTGTATTTGAATCACTGACAAAAATATAACATCTATTTTAATGCAGATATAGTTTTTGGCTGTTTTTTAATGCACGCTACATAAAAAGATAACTTTCCAAGCAAAGCAGATAAAAAGTTTCAGTGAGGTTCTTCTGATAGCTTTCTTCACAGCACATAAAGCAGCAAGATAGTCACTTTAGCTCAGACAAAAGTATCTAAATTTTCCACGAAAATGCAGTAAAAAAAGTGAAATTATCCTTTCTTGAGATAAAATTTAATTCAAAATGTCGAGCACGCCATGCGTGTATTGGAAAATGTTCAACCAATGTATTTGAACTTGCTACGATTTTTAATTATCATAATTATACCTTACTATTAGCTTTAGATATGGAAGGTAAAATGACTATAATAAGAATCATACAAGAATCTGTAAAAATAGGTTATTACAGATACAAAAGATAACCTTGATTAAAACCAACCAAGTACACAGGTACACAAGTAAACGTTCTACTATATTTTGTATTATTAGTTGAACGTCTAAATAAATGTAGTACAAATATGTATTCCACGAGGTGTGACTTAACAGCTGATTTGAAAAGTATGAGAAAAATATTTCCTTGTTGTGACCATTGATCTCTATGTAGTAATAATAGAGATCGATGGTTGTGACTATTTCTCTTGCCAATAGTTAACCCAGCTTACATAGGCCTACTCATCGCACTTTACTCACACACACAAATCAGCACAGCTGGTCATTTACTTTATTGTCTATTGTCATCAATCTAAAAGTCAATAATAGTATTTACTCTGTATCGTGTCCAATGTTCCAGCTATTTTATCAGCTGTTTTCAAACAGCTGGTCAACTCTTATCAAGAAGCTGTCTAGTTTACTTGACCTTTACTGCTGCCTTTAATTTAGTTGAGAAAATTCATCTCTTCTAGACCCATCACACAATGTTTCCTTGATTGTTTTTCTGTAAATTATTTAGTGTTGTTATTTTATATTTTTGTTGAAGTCTTTATTTTTAAAATAATATTCTTAAACCATGAAGTTTCTATTAATCTTAGCTTTCAAAGTGTTGTTTTATCTACACGTCGATTGTGTTGTTTCAAGTGAATCCGTTATTTTCGTAAACTTGGTAAGTTGGGGTTTTTATACGAAATTATAATCACCATTTTCGCATATTTTGATTGTGAACAAAACATCTTAGGTGTTAACTCACTAATAAACTCCTGAACGAATTTAAATTAACTATACAGTAAAATAGATTTATGCGAAATAACGGTTAATTTGAAATGTAATACAGAACAAATGTAATGGAACAATCTAATTTATGGAAATGTAGTTTAAAATACCCCCGCCGCAGCAAACCTGCAGACTAAGCGAATTTCCATTTGACTGATTGGATTTACACTGAAATGTCTACTTAAAAATATAACATTTATTCTTGATTTAAATAGAATTAGTTTAACAAGTACTTAGGTTTGCTGCATCAGGGAGGGTAAAACTGTTTTTTTTTTTTTTGTAAAATGTGAATAGTTAGTAAGAAATAAAAACATTTTCCAAATTTGATCAAAATATGTTCATAAACAAGCAAACTACAACAGTTTACTTATTCTCCATAAGAATAACATGGGAATTTTAAATGTACAATTTTTTGGTATTTTCTCCGTAACCATTAGGCGCATAATAACGCTTCAATATACTAAATTATTTGTTTTTTTAAGCTCTACAAAATGGTTTGGAAAGAAATTGCTAAATTTTATGTTTTTTGGGTCAAAAATGGGAAAAACCTATTTTTACCACATAAAACCCCAAGTAAACCCCCGTTCCCATGGTCCGATCATGCTGGATCGCGAACTCGTTTGAATAAACGTACGTTTACACGTTTGTACCAAATTTCATCAAAATCGGATCATTTTTGCTCGAGTTATCGTGCTGACGGACACATATATATATATATATAAATATATAAATATATAAATATATAAATATATAAATATATAAATATATAAATATATATATATATATATATATGAATTTGAACGGATGGTGTTTTTGGCCTCTAGGGACCTCAAAACGAAAAAAAAATCGGTCCCGCGTCCAGGTCTTACCATGAGTACTACGGTAATAGCTTATTCCCTATATGGGAAATTCGCTAAAAGGGGTAATGCTATTCATTGTGAATATTAATTTTTTGAGACAATTATTTTGTGTTGATATTATAATTGACTATACTCATCGTACTATAGTACTGTATGTATAGTATGTTATTACTGTATGCAGATGTTGCTATATAGTATTTTACAAAAAAACTGTTTTACTTTCTAAAGCTATTTTCAAAGGTTGGACGTCGAAGGTGGGATATCACTGGACACATACCCATTGCGCTTTGCGGTCAGCTTTTTGACAAGCGCTAGACACTCCAAAGGTACAGTTCCATTGCGCGCAACGGTCACTCAGGTCATCGAACCGCATCTAATCTATTAAATTATTCCTTAACGCAGACAATAAGTGACGCTAGGAAAGATTCATCGGCATTTGTTTATTAATAGATTGGTTTACAATTTGACAAGGATGTTTTCTGTAGCATGTAATCCTTAACGCACGGTAAAATTAATAAATTAATCCAAACAGTATTTTTCATATTGTGTTGAATATTTTAAAACGCTAAAGAGCAGATTTTAAATACCTCGACAAAGCAAAGAATGCTATTTCTGTTCTATGCTATTTTGTAAGATTGCACTTTCAGAACATTCTACAGTTAACAATCAAAGCTACATTTTACTCATCCGCTAAGCTACAGTATAGGCAGTATAGGCACGGGGTTTTTTCAAAAAGAAAATTCTACAAGGCTTATGTTACCATTTGGAATTTTGTACTATGGGTCTTTAGAATGATATCTCGGTCCAGTAAGTTGTTGTATAATGTTTGTTCAGTAGGATAGTGTTAAATCAGAAAACACCCATTTGGAATTTTGACTCCTAAAGATAACCTTGTAGGCTTTTTATATTTATTGTTTGAATTGTCAATTAACACAGAAATAGAAAAACGGTTACTAGATTATGTCTCATTCCCGATAAGGATTTAAATATAACGGAAATATAACGGCATACAATACACATTTCAGTCCACGATCATGGCTGCCTTAAAGTACAATAATTAGCGAGTTGTGTACAGTTACAAGTACATCATCATATGGAACTTTGGATGATTGGTATGAGTTTTTACATAACTAAAAAGTAATATCTCATATTGGAAAGTTAGAGGATTAGTGACGAGTGAATGTGAGAAAAACTCATTTATTTAATTGAGAGGTAGCAGAACAGTTGAAGTCGAAAATAAATCAACAGAGTAATATTTTGACCACTGCATGGTGCGTCATGGGGACTGAAAAACGTCTGCATTCTAATCAGCTGTTACTTATTTATTTGCAATGTTTACATTTATTCCGAAAGTCAATGTTGTTAAATAAGGTTTCAAAATGAAATTTAGCCTATTTATTTAATTTTTTTGATTTCCGTTTTTATAATGAGTGAAGTAACTAGACGGGGTAGGGGCAACTTGCAAGACGTGGAAGAGTATCCAGGAATTCAACTGACACAAGAAATGTTGAAAGAGGTAAGGCCTAACTATGAAAAAAATCCACAAGCTCACAACCTGCCTTCAAAAGAACGCTGGAAAATGAGTTGAGTGTTGTTTCTCACAATCTAGGTCCTCTTAACAGCACTTGCATGCATTGTGGCGCATTTAACTTCGCAGAGGAGGTCACAAATGGTCATTTCAACGCATGTTGCCACAATGGACTCATTAACATGCCACAACCACAAGTAAATGACGAACTAAAAGAACTGTTTTTACATGATTCTAACTTCATAAAAAACACAAGGCAATACAACAGTGCAATGGCTTTTGCGTCGTTTTCCGCTACACAATTATAGAGAGATTCCGGGAAATGGGCCTTACTGCTTTAAAATTCAGGGACAAATTCATAGATATATTTCTGACTTACTACCGCGAAATGGGGAGTTGCCTTCTTATTGACAATTGTATTTCATTGATATATCAGAAACAACTAATATACGACTCCACCGGAAGGAAACCCAAGATATAAAACAAAAAAAACTGTCAACTTTAAGTAACATTAAATTTATAGTTTTAAAAACATATTTAAAGTCGGTATTTGTCTTTTTATATAGGCTACTGTATAATTCTACTGTAGTCTAGATTAGGGGCCATGGCCCCTACAGACCACTAGTTTATCTTAAAACTAAACGTCCTACTCATAAAAAAATTAAATTGTCGTTTTACATCAATTGTTTCTATAAAAGTTGCAACGTTTCAGCTGTGGAGGCACGGGGAGAGGACTCCAGTAAGCTTTCACTACAGCAGCCCTTACCATGACAAGAAGTACTGGCCTGAGGGACTGGGGCAGCTTACAAACGTAAGTTAACAATTCTGGCTTTTTCTCTGGCAATTCGTCATTATTTAGTGTACCACCATGGACATTAGTATTGCAGGAATCTAATTTCTTTAAGTTCTTCAAATCAGCGAGTGTGTCAGGTTTCTGTAAACAATTTGTAAGAATTGAGATCTGGTGACTGGGGAGACCATACGATACCTCCGTGAAATGAGATTTCCGCGTCAATATTTTAGAACTAAGTCTACTGGTTATCTTTAATTTTGACGTGGAATCACTATTTGTGAAAATGTTCACCAACCTATTTTAGAGATCTCCATGAACGTTCAGTTCTGAATTTCAGTCAGGTTGGGGGAAGGACGAGTTTATTTATGCTTCCTGGAGTAATGTAATTTACGAGTTTTTCCAATTAGTAAAGTACTGCACTACTAAACATTTTCCGGAGAATCATATTATTTTCATCTGACTTTAGATTTTGGAAGTGTCTTAAAATCTCTTTCAGTAAGATCAAGGACTTGTTTTACTTTCTTTTCCTCATAGGTTTCATTCGATTCTGATTTCGTTTGTGTTTGGGATTTCGTGTGTTTAGATGGAATTTCATTCATAAGGTTGACATAGGTCCAAGTGATTAGTGTCCAAGTGATAAGTCCAAGTGATTTACTCGAATGATTGTTTGAGTGGGCTGTATCTTGCATTTAGGGTAGATGCATTGACGGGTTTGTTAGAGGGGATCTTGTTTATTTAGTTAAAAAGGGTTTTACCGTTTTACTTATTTGATCACATCCAATTTGACTCTGGCCCAATACCTCTAGAAAACATGTGATAAAGACTGTCATGTTGCTGGCCTTACAACAGGTATGTATATTGTAAGAGTTGTTTAACTTTGGTTCTGAAAAATTGCTATCATTCAATTCACTTTTTCCAACATGTCTTGTGTTTAAAACTCCTTCCGTTGTGAATTGAAAATTACTATTCAATCTAATTGGCCTCAAAAGAAAAGGCCAGTCAAAAATAACTGTTTACTGAAAACAACTATTTACAACTCATTATACACAAAAAAGATCAAGTACATATTGAAACAAAAAGTTTAAAATAAATTGCAAAATTTAAAAAATGCAGAAAAAAATCTGTTAGTACACTACACTATACTTACAACCTTACAACTAAACACAAACAAAACTGAACTAACGCTAGACTCCACCACCAAGCTAGCAGACCAGGAACCAGGTAAGAAGTTCGCGTCAGAGGCTAGTGTATTTTTTCAAATTTGTATGGCCAAAGTAACTTGAGGAGTTGATCCACCTCCAGAAACTTTGTGTAGTTTTGAACACAAGACACGATGGAAAAGTCCAATTTATTGCAACATTCCATGATCATTTTGGGATATACTGGTACAGTGAGATAGTTGGAACATTTGCAGACAGGCAAGAGGCAGCAGTACGAGCTAGGCCGGTGGCTGAGACAGCGCTACGACCACCTTCTTACAGACCAGTACAGCCCAGACCTGGTGCGTGTCCACAGCACTGATGTGGACAGGACCCTCATGAGTGCCCAGGCCAACATGGCGGGTATGTTTCCTCCCAAGGGTCGTCAGGTGTGGGAGACGAGTCTTCCCTGGCAGCCTGTCCCCATACACACTGCACCCGAGGATGTAGACAGGGTAGGTACGACATCTTCAAAGTCACACTGTCAGTTATACTGTGGGGCCATGTTGGATTTGGAAAACCGATTCGTAAATTCAATACACTGTTTAAAACTTCTCGAAATAGCGATATCATCATCAATAGCTCAGCCTAATCGGGTGATCAATGATCAATGATCAATCAATGATCAATTATTTAAGATGGGGACGCCACTATGTGCGTATTTTAACCCAAATATGAGTGAAGGATGAGTGTAGGATGAGTGGCGCGATCTTGTAGTCTTGTTAGTGACTAAGGCCGACATGTTCCTTAGACACAGCTGTTAATTAATAGCCCATACAGCTAATGGCAACTAAGGGACCTACAGTTTATAGTGGAATCCGAACCACATTTTTTCCTTGTAATTTACGAATTGGTCTAATTATCAGGATAGTAATGCGGATAGTCGTAGTACTCACTATTGCGGACGTTAATCCACACCAGGGAGCATCGCATCCACAGTGCATCCCTATAAATATCCACAATTCGTGACCTCCTAGTAGCTGGATTACAGGACGACGCCAACCGCCCCAGTCTGTCGATCGTCCCGGAAGTTCTTTACGGTATAGCTTCTTCTCTATGGGGAAGTTCGCTAAAAATAGTATTTATTAATATGTTTGCTTACCTTTGTCTGGATTAAAAAAGAGGGAAAGAAGAATATTTTGTCACAAAAGGATCCCAATGGCTAAAAAGGATTGATATAAAATATTTCCCTTCTAGGAAAGACAATGGTTTTGGAAATACATTTATAACAAGATAACAAGGGTTTTATAACATACAAGAATTTATTTTCTAAACAGTTTCGTAGCCCTTAACTGGTTGTAAGTAGTGCGAATGATACCATTGTCTTGTTTAACCATTTATACATGTCTTCATGTTTTGTTAATTCTGAAAAACACTATAGCAGAAAAGTTCTGCTGGGGACGGAGGCGTGATTGACTTAACGTATATCCACGATACCTGGGATTCGCTGACTATTGAGGTAGGCCTAGATTAAATTGTCAAATTGGCATTTGATTGTAGCTTTGAGCGAACGATTTTGATGAAAAATTAGTATGTCGTCCTCTAAACTCTGAACAAAATGGCACAAATCCTATTTCGCTCAAAAATTGCTATTTCCCCATAAAAACCACATAAAAAATCTGATTTATGGAAAAACCCGGGTTTTATTAAAATTAATGTGTTATGGTCCCTATAATTAATTCTAAAAAATAGCACAACCCCCATTGCTGAAAAAATTACGATTCAAAAGTTACTGCAACCTTTGAAATTTTCCCTATAAAATATCATAGCTACTCCTATCGCTTACCCATGATAAAGCTTGTTGACAAGATAATGTAAGAAAGTATGCGCCAGATTGCTGATACAGTTTCCTACATTCGATCAACTGTTGTAGATCCTATATTATCATGTAGTCTAGGCGCTAGGCCATGTCCGGTGTGCACTTATATGTCCCCTAAGTTTTGTTGCGGGGTTTTGTTTAACACCTATGGGAGCTAAAAAACAACTGGTCACGAGGTCCAAATCATGGTTGTTTGGCCGCCAAATTGCTAGATTATTTTCTAACTAGTGTACATTGCAAAGTATTACAGGAGTTATTTCAAAACTAATAACAGTCATATTTACATTGAGTTTAAAAGAGTCAACTCAAAGATTACCGGTGTGTACCTCAGACCATGTTTATCTTCGTTATTGATAAACCTAAAGCATTCCGGCCGGTTTTCTCCTCAAAATGCCTCGCTGTACAGGCAACACAGGTCATTGATAGAGGGCCAATTGAGAACGAAAAGTCGTTTTGTTTTGGGGTAGTGTTAGGGTGCATTTGTAACCTAATAGTTGATATTGTCCAGGGTCAGGTGCTGACTGTGGTGAGTTAAGCCTATTATTAAGCCAGTGTTCTGTAGCTGCGGTCGTTATCACGATTACACCTCCTGTCTATATGTGTCGTTGTCGTCGTGTCGGAGGCATAAGAATAAAACAACAAATAAACAAATTATAGCTATAGTAATACCAGAAACAAAAGAACCCTCAGCCGTTTCGAGCCGCGCAGGTTTCAATGGTACGGCCCACCTACCTGCGCGAACCACGTGATCTTTTCGTTTCTGCGCAGGTTGTTTTGTTCGTGGTATATCTATACACAAAACAACGATAAATGCACAAATTTAAGTTACGATCATGCTAACACGACCCGTCATAGCGACACAAAACAACGATAAATACACAAATTTAAGATACAACCATACTAACACGATCCGTCTTTTGGGGGTTATGTTTACATAAACTCAAATAGTAAATAAATGTACTCAATGCGTTTCATTGAATTGAAAAATAAATAACAGCAATTAAACTATACAGCTGATCAAAATGTAAACAATTATGTTCTTCATAAGGATAACATGGGAACTTTCAAAGCCACTGGGGGCAGAGCCCAAGGGACTTTTTCAAAAATGTAAGGCCAGTTTGCAAATCTACGCGACACGCTCTTTCCAATGAGACGTCAATGGATAAAATCGGTTAAGATATGGCGGAGGAGTTCAACCGACAAAGTTTCATGTAGCGTATTAATTATATAGATACGTATCTCCATAACCAATGGTCTGATTTTAATTTTGCAAAGCTGATTTTACTCCTTAACCGAAAGCAAACAAACTTTGTCATTAGAATCATCCTCAGAATTCGGTCCATGCAGATGGGAAGAAAACGTCAGTATCCAAAGTCAATAGTGATAACCAACTAAGGATACATATATTGCAAACTCTGAACACGATTGATCTTAAACAAAATATATTAGGGCGATGATGTTAGTTAACTCGTGAAATAATAATGTAAATTTATTTCAGAAGAGAAATGGCTATTCCTTACCAAAGTGGGCTGAGCCCATTATGCCACGATTGCACGAGATTGGAAAGTACAGATTTCTCATTGAAACTTGCACGAAGAAACTAGGCCGTCTTAAGTCAGGTAATATCCAAACCCCAAGCCTACAATGATGAACATAATTTCAAAATATTGAAAGACTATAATGGGTAGCTCAGTGTTTAAGTGCTCACATAGTAATCAAAAGGTTGCCGGTTCGATCCTGAGAATAAGGACGTGTAGCTTTTTGATGGTTCGAAGCTGGACCCAGCTGCCCTTGATCATTAATCTCAAATGGCCCTGACTAATGAAACAGCTAATCTTAGTCAGTAATAAAGCTATACAAGGCACTCCATTCCACAACCATCCTATCCTTCATTGATATTTGAGATAAATCACGCACATAGGTGTTGTCCCTACTTCAATTACTGATACTAATATATAATTTATCTTTCCATTGGTTTCCTTTTGTGATTTTTTTACATTTGCTGAGTTTGCGTACTATACAGGAGTTTTATTTTAGGGTCTTTCTCACCTAAGAAGATCAGGAAAAAACAAAAATTTCATAACCTTAACATTTTTTCGTTGCTGTGTAAGATTGCTATAACCCATTTATTTGCTTTTACTTGATTCTGTTGTTACTATTCTGCGTGTGAATTTTTGCAAAGTGGTGAGAAATATCATTCATAACCGTAACTAAAGTTGATTTTCCTCGGCTTCACCTCGTACTTGAAATTGACTCTTGTTATGATCGGCTTCACCTTTCACGTGAAATTTAGTGTTCATGTGTTCAACTTTGCCTCCCACGTAAAACTTGAGCACGCTCCTAATATGCAACTTTTGGTACTGGTAATACCTATACTATTTTTCGCTAACTGTGAGAGGAAATTTCCGCAACAATTCGGCAAATAACATAAACTTACAATCGCCAACACACAAAGCACACAGCTGTTGTTTTCACAAAGAACGTTTCCCAGAATTTAAAATTCGTTGATTTCGAAATGCATATTTCTGTTGAAACAGGTTTACTCATCGAAGAGATTGTAGAAAACCTGAGGAACAGGACGGAACAGCTGAGCAGTAGAGTGGCCAACATCTACTCTGGTCATGACACGACTATCGCCAACCTCCTACATACCCTGGGGGTGTACGACGGAGAGGTGCCTCCCCTGGCCTCCTGTGTGATGGTGGAGCTCAGGCAGAACCACGGCCGACACTTTGTCACGGTATGTCGTGTGGTGGGAGGTACGGTTGTCTAGTGGTCAATCCGTGGGCCTTACTTACTGGAGGTTCTAATCCCGAGGAACAATGGCTTTCAGTAGCTTAATAATGTTTTTACCCGGTGGTTAGGAGCAAAACTTAAGCACTAGGTCCAGCCTAAGCCAGATAAGATAAGGAGAACTTTGTGTTTTTAAAAGAATGTGAAATTTATATTTATCTTTTTATAATATTTGTTATAATTTTATTTTGCAATAGGGACGCCAGCTACCTAGGTGTGTATTTAAACACAAATCTATATATAAATCCCAAAGTATCAACAACTTTTGACTAAACTAAAAATCCCACTATAAACCATCCCTATAACCACAATCCCTATAAACCATCCTTATCTATCTATCTATATATTAATAGGCAAGCATGTTTCTTTAAAACCTTTTTTCTCAGCTCGTGTGCATCGCAAGGGAAATCTACGCATACTGTTAGAAAGATATTTGCCTGTAGATGTGCAGAATTCCTTTATAAATTAAAATAGGCTAAAAAATAAGCACAAACAACGAATTTGAAAACTTAAAAAAATTAACATGGACCAACTGGGTTGCCATGATGGTGACGAAATAACAACAAAATGTAAACAGAAAATCAAAACAAATGGAAGAAATCCCAATCACATGTTTTATTTACAGTGTGGGGAGAAAATAGAGAAGTCTGTACATTCATTATTTTTGGTCGAGTTTCGACCACAGGACGACCACTAGTATATTATAATACGTGAAGGCGATTTGTACGAAACACTACTCTTCAGTTAGTAATGGACGGATTTTTACAAACGATTTGTCAAAATGAAGAATTTTTTGTGTAGACACCCCTTTCACCAATTCCTGCAATACAACAAGTCCTCGGGCTTTGCCCCACAGGCCATCAAAATACCAATGTATTTATTGAAGAAAATATGGTACTTTCCTGTTAAAGGGAACATTCATTATTATCGATGATTTATTTTCGATATATCGATATTTTTGTTTTCCATCCGATATATTGATAGTAACAAATTGAACCATATCAGCTGACAAGTACGATATAGGATACAGTAAATAAATATTGTTCAGTATCAACAAACGATAAAAAAAATATTATATTGAAATGAAACTGTTCTAAACTAACCTAGCCAACCAAACTTGCTGTAAAATTTCAAAATTCCGTTTGATAGCCTAATCCCCATATGCCTTTTCTGTTATCAAATGGAATTTTGAAACGGTAACTTAGCCTATACAGCAAGTTTGGTTAGTTATGTTAGGTTAGTTTAGAATAGTTTCATGTCCTAATCCAATATACAGGCTATTACTTTTGCCTAAACAAGGTTGGTTCTTAATTTGTAATTTAAATGCGTATGACGATATTAAAACAGATGTACCAATCGTGAAGTAAAACAAAAATATCGATATATCGAAAATAAATCATCGATAATAATGAATGTTCCCTTTAACAGGAAAGTACCGAAAATATAATGTTGACTTAATCAGACGAATAATTTGTATTAATTACAGCTGTTCATAGTAAATAGATACACATAAGAGCATTCGTTTTCAGTTTGACTGACTGGAGTAGAGTGAGCGTTCGTTTTAAGTTTCGATAACTGGGGTGGAGTGATTGATTATATTATCTTTGAGTTGAATCTTTTAAGTCATCGGAAATTATGACTGTTATTCGTTTTGAAATAACGCCTGTAATATTTTTCAATTGCTCGAATTCGAGCAAAAGGTGCACTAGTATACTTAAAATACTCGTCATGACCCGAAACCTTGCGCAAAACTATCCATTATTTTATATAAGGTCGTAATTGCTTTCTAAAGGGAACTTTCCATATACCTAATGTTAAAAATAACACCAAGCTGTACTTATTTGTATGCTATTACCTTATTAATTTGTTTGTATTACTGTATTCTGTATTTTTATTCCAACTTAACTTAACTAATCAATATTTTTATTAATACTTATAAAGTTTAACGGGGTGAAGCCCGTGGGTTAAATCTTTGACTATTCAGCTAGTATAAGAATGGTATAAGTAAAGAATGAGCGTAGAATGGTAGAATGAAGTGATATGATCTGTGTAGCTTTGTTCTGAGTAAGATAAAGCTGTTTAATTAGCAAGAACCATTTTAAAAGGACTGACGGTGCTATATGATGAATATCATTGCTGAATGTCATTATCTGCGAATACTTAAATATTTTAAAATTAAAGGGCTACCTTACGATGGTAGGTATTTAAGCTATGAATGGAAATGAGTGTAGGATGATTGGCACGATCTCGTAATCTATTGTATCCCTCCAAGTATAAATTTATTTTCAGGGTTAGGAATGGTAAAAAGTAAGCAGTCACTGCACCGGTAAGAATTATTCTTCCATCTCCATTTCAATCACCATAATCTCATCCATATCTATATTTTCCTATCCAAATTAGTTTCGCAAACTTTCTTTCTCATAATCAAAACCGTTTAGCAGAAGACCAATCTTGGACTGCTGTGTCGATTTTCAAAACAATCTTCTTTTGACTTCTTTGTTTTTTACAGATTTTCTACCGCAACTCCACCACCGAGGACCCCCATCTTCTGACACTTCCTGGATGTGCTCCTGCTTGTCCCTTGGACAGGTTCTTCTCCCTCACCAAGCCATTGATACCTGAGGACTGGGACAAAGAATGTCAGGAGTCGTAGAACATCCACCTGGTGGTCATGTATGCCACTAATGAGTTAAATACTTAAATAGGTAAAATAAGTTACCTTAGTTAAATTGCCCTTTTCAAATACACTGACAGAGTAAATTGTTCTAACGATTCAAACGAATCTTGTTATTTTATAGATTTTAAATGCTTATTCAATTTGTATCATTTTGAAAAGTAACAATTTTTCATAATGTGCATTTTTTCTAATAAAAAAAACTCACAGGTTTTGTGTAACGTAAAAAGTTAATTTTTACTAACTAAATTATTTACTGAACTTTACAGGGTTTACTTATTTTGTAATTATCTGGTTCATTGAGAAAGGTTGTACTTGTTCAAAACTTAGGAATGTAATTGTAGCATATCACAGTTACACCAATTATGTTAGTGCGATAATTCATAATTATCATTGGAAAATAAATATATTCCACTCTATTGTATTATTAATCAGTAAAACCCCTTATTTTACTCTCACGTATATTTTTAACCAATTCTAGAGTTAAAAATATAAATAACTCAAATCTGACCATTTTACGTCATAATAATTCTAGAAGATACCATTGGCACTTTATGTAATGACAAATTTGAAACAAAAAAGTTATCTTGAAACTAAGGTTAAAATATAAGTTTAGTACACTTTACATTACATTGTACACAAATGGCCTATATACTTAAAACCAGGGAGTAAAAAAATTAATTAAGCAAAAAAATCCCTTCTAAAATAGCAATAGCTTCTAAATACCTCATGAACAATTTACAGGCCTAAGAATGATAACGGATAAGTATAACTATACCCATTTACTTCTCAATATAGTATAATGTACAATTATTATGTTTATTGGGTCTCATTCCCAAACACTTTAGGGTAGCGAGCTGGTCTAGCGGTTAGATTGCGGGACTTCGGTTCCAGAGGTCCCGGGTTCAAATACCACCAAATCACCAATGTATTTTGATTTTATCCCTGTGATAATGCCGCAACCCCTAGGTCTAGCCTGAAGTAATGCGAAAAACAATTCCGGGCTCGTGCCTAGCGTCTTAAAAAAAAGAAAACAAGCTCCCAAACACTTTCCCAACCCCATTTGCCACGAAGGAAGATTTTCCCCATCAGATTTTAGAGAAGCAGATAAAACAAAGGGAGATTGCTATAAGCACATATCGTGGAAAATATTGTGGAAAATATGAGAATCACATTGATATATTCAATATCAGCGAGCGGCGTTGAATGTTAGGCCGATATTCTCTTCCTTCCTGCATTTTATTATCCGTACCGCGTGTTTGTATCTACCATCTTGAGATTCCAAACATTAGCATATACACATACAACATTTATCAAAATTGTAAGTAAATGCTAAATAATCCTTATTATTCTTATGAATAAGTTTAAAACAACTTGAGGTTGTTCTCGATTTACGGAGAGAATGTTTACTATTTGTTTCTTGTAACTTGTTTAATCAAATTAGAAACAAATTTGAATAAATAATTCACTTGTCACCAAATGCCGTTTATGTATTTACTAGTGTACAGGTTGCTCGAATTCGAACAATTGCTAAGTATTACAGGTGTTATTTTAAAATGAATAACAGTCATAATTTCTGATGACTTTAAAAGATTCGACTCAAAGATTATGGAAATACTCAAGATGTACATAACTGATTGATATAATCAACATTTCTTGTAAATATTTTTTTATTTTTCTAAAGCCAATCTTGTTTTTTAGTGTTTTCTACAAATAGACTTACTTATAGCCGCATTAGGTTGTCCATAATAACGGTAATAATAAAAAAAAAACATTATTTCTATTTCTTCTCCTGGGTGGTGTTCTATTACTTTCCTATGTTCCAATGATTACTAAGAAATGCAGCACAGTGTTAATTCAGTTTTCTTTTTAGTAAATAAAATTATCCAGGCTCTCTCGCTTTTTTCCATTGTAATATTTACGCCAACCCAAATTCAAATGGTAAATATTTCATTTTAACCAAGTCAGTAAGTTTTTGTACCAAACTGTTAAATTAGCAAACTTATTGACTGTTTACAATCAACATATTTTCTTCTTCTCACTTTTAATTTCTTACAACAGCTGGAGTTTCATTAAGGTTTTTGTTTCCCAAGTTAATCTTATGGAGAATTACGAAACTTTAAAGGGCCCCAGGGTTTCACTCTCTTATTATTTTCCTAAAAAGAAAGTTTCCTGCACAACTTCACGTTACGCTCTTTCCAATCACACCAAAAACATGTCAATCGGTTCAGTAGTTTCGGAGGAGTAATTGTCACAAAATACCTGCTTGCGTATTAAATAAGTAATGATATCATGTGTTTACTTTGCACAGCTGTTTTAGTATGCAATTAATACAAATGATTCGTCTGTTTAAGTAAACAAAATATTTTCTTCATAATTAATACATTGGAGTTTTGATCGCCTGTGGGGCAAAGCCCGAGGACCTTTATTTCGGGGTGTCTACACAAAAAATACCTTACTTGACACATCGTTTGTAAAAATCCGTCCATTATTAACGAATGAGTAATATTTCGTATAAATCGCCTTCACGTATTATTAATAATTGTAAGGGTGCAATTACCATCAATTACACGAATTGGCTCAACTTTTCAACTTAAGAACACCTATTTGGAATGTATAGTGACATTTTAGAGATATTTTTAGCTGTAGATATATTGGTTTGTGTTATAAGTATTCTTTCATTGAAGTGACTTGTATCTTACTGATTTGCTATACAGTACAAGTTTTCAATTCGATGGAGGAATAGTAAAAATGCGTGAGTTATTCTCAATAAAACGTTAATTGCAGTACATGAGTTAGCCACTGAAATTAATACACTTATTTGACTCCGTTTGTGGAAAATTGAGACAATTTTGTCTGAGCTAAAGTGACTATCTTGCTGCTTTATGTGCTGTGAAGAAAGCTATCTTAAGACCTCACTGAAACTTGTTATCTGTTTTGCTTGGAAACCGTCCTTTGAATCTTGAGGTAAAAATTGAGAGTCTCTAAATAGATATACTGTATTATACAGATATTGTTATGTAGTTTTGCATAATTTGGAGAGAATATGCGTTTTTAAACTCAGTCATCAAAGATTATATTATTATTCAGTGAGTGTGCTTTGGCGATTTTATTTATAACTGTATTAAGCTGTTAAAAAAGCTGTATATTAAATTTAAATTACTTGTATTAAAGTTATTCTTATGGTAACCAAATTTGGGTTATAATTATTATTCTATAACATTTTTCCTTAGTTAAAGAATGGACAATACAGTTAGTTTTATACACCGACTAGCTGGCCCGACAGACGTAGTCATGTCCTAAACTTGTGGTTTTATGTCAAATGCTTGTTCATTTTCAAGATCCTGGTACATTTAGGTTGGAGCTCGTTCGCTGCGCTCTCTTGCCTTTAGGTTAGCTCGTTCGCTACGCTAACTCGCCTCCAGGTTGAAGTTCTTTCGCCACGCTCACTCACCTTTTGGTTGCAAATTAGCTGTTGTCATAAATTACAAAAAAAAAAAAAAAAAAATAATCGTGCTGCACCCTGTTGGCAAACTTATTAACTTTTTAATGCTATTGAACATTACAGAATCAAATTGCTTGGTTGAACCAGCTGTTAAGATTCTTTAATTCCATTTAAATATGAGTACTCATAAGGTTAACATGAGAAACTCCAGAGCCACTGGGGCGGAGCCCTTTTGACGGATCTGCACCAAACTTCACACAAACCATCATTGAATAATGCTTAATAATGCCTGAAAGTTTCATTACAATCTGTCGAGCGGTTCCGGAGTCCATAAAGGACAAACAAACAAACAAACATACATACAAACAAACATACATTGGATTTTATATATATATAGATGACTAGCTGTAACCCGCGGGCTTTGCCCCGTTTAACTTCTTAATTTTCAAGATTATCTCGTTCGCATGGCTCAATCACGTCCTGGTTGAAGTTTGTTCGCTACGCTCACTCACCTTTAGGTTGGAGCTCGTTCGCTACGCTCACTCACCTTTAGGTTGGAGCTCGTTCCCTACGCTCATTCACCTTTAGGTTGGGGCTCGTTCGCTGCGCTCACTTGCCTTTAGGTTAGCTCGTTCGCTACGCTAACTCGCATCCAGGTTGAAGTTCGTTCGCTACGCTCACTCACCTTTTGGTTGCAAATTAGCTGTTGTCATAAATGTAAAAGAAATAATAGTGCTGCACCCTGTTGGTTATCCTTGTAACTTTAATGCGATTGAACATCATAGAACAGAACCAACTTGTTTAATTGAAACAGCTGTTAAGATTCAATAATTCCATTTCTCATAAGGTTAACATGGGAAACTCCAGAGCCACTGGGGCGGAGCCCGAAAGGAATTTTGAAATAAGAATATGCCTATATGTTAATCGGGAATGTGAGCTATCATCATGCCAAATTTCAGCCCAATCCGACCAGTATTTTTCGAGTTTACTTTTCCCATACACACATACACACATACAGCAACCACCTCTTTTTTATAATAGTATAGATAATAACTAAAACACTACGGTAAAACCCTTTCATGAGAATTAAGTTAGCTGCGAAATTAATATAGTGATATTAATATCAGTCAATCCACCTGTCAAGATAACATTGATCAATAACAAAAACACTTGTGACTAAGTACACACGGAATTAATTCATTAGGTCGCTTGGAAAGAACAAAGTATCATCTAATTTCTAGATAGCTCATTGAAGACCTACATTGTAGAGTGGGGAGTGTACATATCATAATGGCAGTCTAGGGTTTTATTAGTAGTGGAATGATGTTCTTATTTTCACTATTTCTAACATTTGTGGCGCAAACAGTTTTGGGCGGAAAGTTGGGTGATGACGGAGGAGATGTTATATTTGCCAATGTGGTGAGTATTTAATAAGCATTTGTAGAATATACTATAATATTTTAATACTATAATATACTATAATATATGGATGGTTGTGGTGTGATGCTGGTAACAAAATTCTGAAATGTTTTGTGCCAATGTGTTCATTCCTTACTTGCAGATGATGAGTTTGGATCTACACTAAACTTATCTGGCTTTAGGATCGTATCCATTTCACAATATAAAGTTATTAAAATTGAAATGAGAGTAAGAATTAATGAAAAAGAACTTTTATCACCTTTTAACCTTTATAACATGAACCTGAATACTTTCCTATAGTTCGGCCGCTTAGAAAGCGACCTCCTCCAGCATTGGTTTAGCATAAGCGCGCAGGTCGTTTTCTAAGCGGCCGAACTATAGTCCATAAATTATTACTCCTAATTATTTAAATGACTACGTGCATTAACATTAGGGAGGAAGAATGTAGTAGAAAACATGTGTCTTCAATTCTTTATTATTGTTTTGTTGTGTTTGTAAACAAGTCCATTATAATTCAATATAATGTAGTATTGTTCAAGTTATTAAAAACCTTTTAAAAGGTGATAAAAGTTCTTTTTCATTCATTCTTACTCTCATTACAAGACTTTTCTTACGTCAAGTGTTATGACTTCACTATGTTTCTGGAAACTACTCTATTTTTAAAGTGACTAAATATTAATTTACCTTTACCTAACATCCCTATCTAGCCTTACCTACCCAATGGGTTTTCCACAACTTAATTATACAGGTTGTATTCTAAACGACATAAAATACAAAAACACCACTACCTAATAGGGTTAAGTTATGTACTATATAAAATGTAATCAATGTGTAGATTTTTAACACGAATACTTGAAACAACATATCATTACCATCACTAAATAGTATTTTTCATAACAAGAGTAGAAAGTGAGTCATTACACATTTGAGACCATGTTTGAAGTGCGAGATTTATAGAGCACTTTAAATGGTCGAGAATAAATATATACCCACTTTCACTCTGTTTTGAACGTTACTTTTTGCCACAAGAATAATTATTTTCTTCATTACAAATCTCATAGAATTTTTTAGGTTATGCCTTCAATTTAAAGTTGATGTTAACTTTACAGTAGTTGTTGAAAATTGAAACAGTTAAAAACTAATTGTTTGTTTATGTCGGCAAAATACAAAAAATATTACTTTTGCATAGTAAACATTCTTTTGCCATAGTAAAAAAAGTAATGACAGATTTTCGCAGGTGACAAACATGTAACGAAACATGTCATTTCACAGTAGTGTAGCAAGTATTTTAAACAAAGGACATACAATAGACATACAAAGGATGTTACATATCATTATGTCTGCGGTATCATTTTCAGTCAGGCAACGGTTGGTGTTTTAAGCTATTGTGTTTTAATATTCCGGTTCAGCCTTTTAATTGGTTGTCATTTCATTATATAAACTTATTTGTTTAGCTTTTCAGACACGGCGATCGCAACATAATCACAGATTACCCAAATGATCCGAACAAAAACATGTCTTACTGGCCTGAAGGATTGGGACAGCTGACAAATGTAAGTTGCAAGTTTTAAGTTTTTACAATATAAACAACATTAAGTAAAACATGTTATAGTTTTTTATTGTGATAAAAATGACAGTCATATATTCAGTCATAATAACCAGCAATGATTATTAAGAAGCCTGTTATTTTAGGTACTGTCGTACTATACGAAAAAACTGTTAGTGTCAATCTTGCAGAGAGCACAGAATATGAATTTCTATTCTGTGCTCTCTGCAATCTTGACTTAAAATTTATTTGGATGATTCAGAGTCGGAGCGATTGTATCGTGAGGTTGTTGTAGAGGGGCCTTGGGGTTAGGCCACATCAATAAAGGCGTGAAAATATTTCATTGTGTAAACTGACTTATTACCAACTCTTGATACTTTCTACTGACTCCATCCATTTCCAGTTAGGGAAGCGCCAAGAATTCGCTCTAGGCCAATGGCTACGCCAGAGGTACGACCGCCTCCTCACAGACTTCTACGACCCTAATCTGGTGTACGTCCGCAGCACCGACGTCGACCGTGCACTGATGAGCGCCAAGTGTGTTTTGGCGGGAATATTCCCTCCAAAAGGACAGCAGGTGTGGAACGATCAGCTGATCTGGCAACCCATACCTACACACACAACGCCTGAGAAGCTGGACAAGGTGGGTAACCAGGAAAAAGAACCATAAGATGAGCAGTTAGCCTGAGAAATACCTCTTACATGGACGTATACTTTAATACTTTTCATTGAAATGGTGACCATACAAAGTAGGTATTTTAAGCCAAGTATGAATGGAGATGAGTGTAAGATGAGTGGCGGGAACTTGTAGTCTTGTTAGTAACTAAGGCCGACATATTCCTTAGAGACAGCTGTTAATTAATAGCCTATACAGCTAATGGCAACTAATGACCTACAATCTATAAATTGGCATCCGAACCACATTTTTGCCTAGGTATATACGAATTGGTCTAATTATTTGGTCTGCGGATAGTCGCAGTACTCACTCGTGCGGACGTTAATTCACACCAGGGAGTATCGCATCCAAAGTGCATGCCTATATATATGCACAATTCGTGACATATATAACATCGAGCTATGGCAATATCATTGATTATAGATAGAACTGAGCATTCCATTACCAGGTTACTTTTAGCATAGACTAACCAACACAAGTAGACTTCTCATCCCATTGTAAATTTAGTATGTTTTTATCTATGCTTTTAGCCAGTTTTATATTAGAAACGACCGTAGTCAAAGTGCGCCACCGACAGAGTTCACGGTTAATTTATTGATTTAAATCGAATAGCATATTTATACTCTATGCTACATTTGAATAAAAGTAGTTTTTACTTGCTACTTGCAGATTTTGGCACAGAAATACCCATGCCCAGCATACCAGGCAGAGCATCTAAGGGTGCTAAACTCCGCAGAAATAAGGAATATAACTTCTAGATATTCGTATATATTAAAGAACTTAACAGACTTTGCAGGTGAAAATATCTCCACACTCTGTGACATTAACTGGATATACCATGATGTTTATATAGAGGTGAGTAAACGAAATACAGTATTGATCTTATCCCGACTAAGAAATTATTCGTACCCTGTAATGGGAGTAACAAATTTTCACTTTTTTGTTTTCCTAAAGAATTTAAATACACTGATTCTACTGCAATTGCTCGATGTTGCAATTTCTACCAAGTTTTATGAATAAAATATAAAACCCTCAGTAACTCGACTTAGTGATAATCTTACGAAAAATACCCCCGCCGCAGCAAACCTGCCGTCTAAGCGAATTTCCATTTGGCTGAATTGATTTTCAATTGATCTATTTAAATAACATTAGGTTTAACGAGTACCTAGGTTTGCTGCTACAAGGAATCTAATAAAGTCTGTGTTTTAAGTAAAATAATTATTGCTTAGTATAAAATGAATATATTTGCCAAGTTTGATCAAAAGATATCCATAAACAAGCCAACTACAACATTTTACAATATTCTCCATAAGAATAACATGGAAATTTTAAATTTACCATTTTTTAAGTTTTCTCCGTAACCAATAACCGTACAAAAACACTTTGATATACTGAATTGTTTGTTTTTTTAAGCTCTTTAAGAAGGTTTAGAGAAAAATTGGGAAATTTTGTGTTTTAAGGGTCAAAAGTGAGAAAAACCAATTTTTACCCCACAAAACCCTGTTCCCATGGTCCGATCATGCTGGATCGCGAACTCATTCAAGTTTATCCCGCCTTACACCTTCAAACCAAATTTCATCAAAATCGGATAAAAATTACTCAAGTTATCGTGTTCACGGACACACACACATATATATATATATATATATTTTTATTATATTATTTTATTATTATATTTGATTTTTATTATATTAGTAGCCCTAAAAATGCAAGAAAATAATATATAAATCTATATAAAAATCTATATAAGCTTATATATAAAAATTTGAACGAATGGTGTTTTTGGCCTCTGGGGACATCAAAATGAAAAAGTAAATCAGTCCCGGGCCTAAGTCTTACCATGAGACCTACGGTAATAGCTACTTCCCTATAGGGAAATTCGCTAAAAGTACCTATATTACGTTACTAGTCCGGAAAATAGGGGTTTCCCGAGCTAGAGTAATGAGATTACCATACGAGTATGGTAAACACATTTTTCCTACAGTCACCCGACAAAGTTGGCTTTCTTGTACTGTTTATAGTACAGAAAGCTGCTAATTGCTGCATATTTATACTTTGCCGTACGGTTTATACTTTGCCGTACGGTTTATACTTTGCCGCACATCAGGATTCCAACGAAACAACACAAAACAGCGTGGTTCTATTATGCACGTAATCCATGTACGCTTGGAAATAGGTTGGCAACACTTAAAGATAATAATACTATGAGCAGCTGATTGACTATTATGACTACGATTTAACCTGTCATTTCGTGTTTATAGTTTCGGTATTTCTGAACTTTCTGGACTTTTCTTTTAAACGTTTTTAAAACATTCCTACGATCTTAATAAACAAGAAAATACATTTAAAGCGTTTTTTTAGGCGCGGAAACCACTTCAAATTACAAAAACATACGGAACTATATTATATTCTTAAAACGCGGAGCACATTTCTTGCCGAGGAAAAATAGCGGAGTGATACGGATCGCGCGTACTACTTTCTCTAGGGCACCATTTGTGTTGCCAGCTGAACCTAAAAACGTGTTGTATAGTGTTTGAAAGACTAATTATTTATATACTTTATAGTGACTGTAGGAAAAATATAATGTGTAACACGAGTGAAAAAAGCCTTTGCTGCACTCGAGATCATTCCGCACTCGCCTGTGGCTCGTGCGTAAACATTGCTCTCGTGTGCAGCAAAGTGCCACTTTCACCACTAGTTACACAAATAACTATTGGAGGAGTGACGTACAATATTTTTCCTACAGTCACCCAACAAATTTGGCTTCCTTGTACTGTTTATAGTACAGAAAGCTGCTAATTGCTGCATATTTATACTTTGCCGTACGGTTTATACTTTGCCGCACATCAGGATTCCAACGAAACAACACAAAACAGCGTGGTTCTATTATGCACGTAATCCGTGTACGCTTGGAAATAAGGTTGGCAACACTTAAAGATGATAATACTATGAGCAGCTGATTGACTATTATAACTACGATTTAACCTGTCATTTCGTGTTTATAGTTTCGGTATTTCTGAACTTTCTGGACTTTTCCTTTAAACGTTTTCAAAACATTCGTGCGATCTTAATAAACAAGAAAATACCTTTAAAGCATTTTTTTAGGAGCGGAAACCACTTAAAATTACAAAAACATACGGAACTATATTCTCAAAACGTGGAGCACATTTCTTGCCGAGGAGAAATAGCGGAGTGATACGGACCGCGGGTACTACTTTCTATAGGGAGGCCACCATTTGTGTTGCCAGCTGAACCTAAAAACGTGTTGTATAGTGTTTGAAAGAATAATTATTTATATGCTTTATAGTGACTGTAGGAAAAATATAATGTGTAACACGAGTGAAAAAGGCCTTTGCTGCATTCGAGATCATTCCGCACTCGCCTGCGGCTCGTGCGTAAACATTGCTCTCGTGTGCAGCAAAGTGCCACTTTCACCACTAGTTACACAAATAACTATTTCGCTGTGTGACTCTAAACTAGACAGAAAAAAAATTACAAACTCGTTATATATTCCCACCGATTTAAGTACGAAACAATCACTTCTCATAACTAAGAGAGGTTATTATTTCCTTTATAACCACTCATGGGCCAAATCAGCTGGTGTCCGGTAAAAATTATTTGCAGTACAGTAGTAGCTTTGACTAGTATCGCTTAGTATAATAAATGGTGGTACTTAATGAAATTCGTATCACTCAGCGTATCACTGGCTGTGGAATGTGTGATCCTTGTCACCTTGTTTCTCTTTGTGTTTTTTATTTAAACTATCGGCACAACACAAATAAATGTATTAAGTATATTGTGACAGCCAGGCAAACCTGAAAATGCAATTATATCGGAAACGGCAGTAGTGCAAATGTAGTAGTTGTTACAGTAGACGGCAAGCAGTCATTTATTTATATCAGCCTGCCATCTGACACTATAACAATATGAATTGTAAAAGTTATAATTAACAATATTTAATTTAGGAACCACAAACACAATAAACATCGATTTCAAGCTGTTAGTTGTAACTGTTTTGTAACGGTTTTGCCAGAAACTGAAGAACATGACGGTGCCACAATGGGTAGTTGATCTGTTCCCAGTTATGTACGAAGCTTCCAGCTTCTGCTTTGCACTCCCAACTTGGAATACAAAACTCGCTCGTTTGAAGTCAGGTAATGAGAAATTTAATGCACCAGAGATAGTCAGTTTCGTGGATCAGACATAATTTACAAGCGACAACTAAGCATTTAGTTGTACACACGAATATTTGAACATAAACGGTGTGTATTATATACGTAAGCAAATTGTATCACTGACTCTCAAGTAAACGTGTTAGTATAATTATTTAAATGGGACTGATCAACCCATATGTTAGTGTTATTCGAGTAGGATTTGGGCCTATGACGTCATTTGTTTATGTTTATGATCCAAACCACGTATGTTTTAATATTCGTGGTTACAGAAATACAGTACTTTTAAAAGGAGATATGTTATAAGATATGCTATAATTTACAGCAAGCTGACCAGGCTGCTGAATTTTTATTCCAGGATTAGTTTTGCCATCAGTGTTATTTGGAGGCTTCTGATTGGGGCCTCGGTAATATAGTGGATAGAGTGCCGGGCTGATAAACCGAAGGGGTCGGGTTCGAATCTCACCCGTGGCACAATTTTTTTTGTCTTGGATTTTTTCATCATCAGAAAGTTTGGTTGCTTTGGTTAGGTTATGAAAGTTTAATTTTATAATTAAAACATAAAATTGAATTTGAACCATGTATAGTTTTATTTTATAAACAGAACTATTTTTTCAATTAAACCTTCATTCGATTTTTCATTATCAGCAGTTTGGTTGGTTTAGTTAGGTTGACAGTTTAATTTCATAATAAAAAAAATATAAAATTGAATTTGAGGCATTTATAATTTTATTTTATGAACAGAACTATTTTTTCGAATTAACAAACCTTCATTATACTCAATCAGAAGCCTCCAAATGACACTGTTGGCAAAACTAATCCTGAATAACAAATTGTGCGACCAGGCTTTAAAACTCCTTACAAACTAAACATTCGAATGCGATCTCTACTTTCATCAATTAATAACACGAATACTAGAAAAATACCGGTATGGATCATAAACATAAACAAAATGACGTTGTTGGCCCGAATCCTAGCATTGAACATATGTTTTGGCAGTTCCATTTAAGCAATGTTAAATAATGTTTATTTTCGGGCCAAAAACGTCATTTGTTTATGTTTATGATCCATACCGGTATTTTTCTAGTATTCGTGATTAATAGTCAAAGCATTGCGCCTAAGCCAACCTTACCCTAACTAACCACTAAGGTGTATTATATAACTTTTATATACATCCTTTGATCTAATATGGTCAGGTTGATTAATTCACCAATACACGTTTTCAGGACTTTTGGTACAAGAAATGATCAACAACATGAAGGCTAAGATAGACGGAAAATCAAGTCTCAATGTGTATTTTTATTCGGCACACGACTCTACAATAGGCAGTTTGTTGAACTCTCTGGGTGTCTTCGACCTTCAGGATCCCCCGTACTCTTCCACTATCATGATGGAGCTGAGGAACAACGGAGGGGATCATTACGTGACGGTGGGTGACCTAGGAAAGCTATGTGACGTCATCGATACACTATCCAATGTTTTATTCAATTACAAAACTACTTTGAAAAGTATTCTACAAATCGGATAACCCGGAATGGGTTACCTCGTTTGATCCCATAGATGCATTCAAGAAAAAACCGAAAATATGTAGGTGTCTAGGTTAGGATCTCGTATCCTACCATGTAACCTTAACCTTTATGTGTGGATGGTTCAATAACTGGGGAAATAAAATTAGCTATGAACAAAACAAATACAACAATAGAACAACAATAGAAATGTGTACAATTGATGAAACTGAATCAGAAAGAAAGTAGGTGTAGTTCCCAATACAGCGTGATTTTATATGAATCAAGAAATGTGTTCAGTAGATTTTTTGCAGCTTATATCAATCTATAATTTATGAAAAAAAACTTCCAAGTGTGTTTCACTATTCAATTTGTCAGCTTATTTAATACAAAATGACAATATCCACATACTACACGGACTTGAACAAGAAGCACCGACACAGAGTCATCATCAAGAGTTGAGTTCATAAATCAATAAATCATTTCAATAATACAAGTGTTACATGTTCCAGCTGTTGTACCGCAACAATACAGCTGTTGAGCCATATCAGCTGATTTTGCCGGGCTGTTCAGCGATGTGTCCCTTGGATCAGCTGATCAACCTTACTCTACCAATAATACCTGAAGACTGGGACAAGGAATGTCAGATTGTCGAATAAACTTACACTATAATACTAGTGTTTTTTTACCTGTTCACTTCAATTTAATAGAATTATTAAATGTTGTGCAAAGTGTGCATGTTGTAGGACTACTGAATGTGTTAGCCTAGGACGTCCAAATAAAGTTTAAGTAGCCCAACATAGTCACGCTAATAGACTAAGCCAAACTTTGTTAAGTTAGACATTTTAATGTTCATAACAGCTTTGGAAAAGTTATTTGTATGGTTGATGAAAGTAGGAATGGTAAAGATTCTATAATATTTTACCAAATCTTATGGCTAATCAGTTTGCAGAAAAAGGACTGCAACCCAACAGGCAGGTTTTTATGGAGTGTTGCAGTTACATGGAGGTTCAATATTTCATAAATCTAAATCGGAAATCTGTAATATATCCTACTTAAACCGTTGTCTCACATAACAGAACGATTAGTCTCAAAACAAACAACTTAAGGATTGTGCAGCTCCCTCGTAAATACATATGTACCCTAGTATTAGCTTATAAATGAAATATAAATGAGTGACGATAAAAGGGATTGTGTAGTGTATGCTTCTATTTAAGATTTCCTTCTGAGTCTTTGCAAGACGTCCCCATGATATGACAGAAAATTGATAGGTCCTCAAACAAGTGCATTTTTAGGTGTGGTGTTAATGTAACAAATATTATTGATTTATCTGTTGTCGTTTAGAAATTAATAAGCCGGCGCGGGACTTTATACAACCTGTATAACTCTTTTATACTACATTATCAATGTCTTTCCTTCACACCTCAGGACGCTCGGCTCAAGTCCGGATCTATTTTGCACGTTACCTGAGGTTCGGTCTTAGAGGTACTCGGCATTTCCCCCGTTGGTGATTGGTGGGATTTGAACCTTGGACCTTTGAAACCGAAGTATTGCACTCTATCGATAAGCCAGATCTAGTTCTGTTTCCACATTGGATTCACATTCAGGCTAAACACGTATCTAAGTGTTCGTTGTTGTTTTAAAGTAATAATCAATTAGGAAATTATGATAATAAAACGAATATTACAAGTGTTCTATGACAACAGTTGTACAACAATGCAGACCAACCTTCTGTCGGGTATTTGCCAAGCTGGTGTGCTACCAATTGTAATCAGTCAGGTGTTGAGGAACAATAGAATGTTGATTCAAAGTTACACAGTGTTAATTGTTGATCACAAACCGCGAGTCACTCAGGGAAGAATACACAATTGTACATCGTGTGAAGTAAGATGTACATTGTGTTAAGTGTTCTGCTGATTCTACCATTCGCTTTTGTCGAATCAAGAAAGATCTGTCACGAGTTGGGTGATGTCGTTTTCGTCAACGTTGTAAGTATTTTTAAAATTTTAAGTTACTTATGTATGTAAAAGTAAAGTTTTTGTTATTAAAACTATATATTGATGTTATATTAGAGGATAAACATGAAACGGCGCCCGTTTCTCTATTACAGTCTAAAATGTCTTGAATTATGACGGAATTCTTGCAAAAATTCCCCAAAAATATTCCCCCCTTAAAATCTCAATCAATTCTTAATTACACATTGTATAACAAACGATTCCAAATGTCCCTATGAAATTGAAATCTAATCAGTAAAATATTACCTAAACATTAAAATCCACGCATCTATTTCATTCGATTCTAATTGATTGAAGAACAATTGTTGTACTCACTACAGAAAGTGAGGACCAATATTTAATTAATTTCTAAAACAAAGTTTTACTTTCGTGATGAAAAGTGACGGCATGAGTAAAATAGAGACAGAAAACGCTTAATATAAATAATGCCCATATAGAATATAATATTAATGTATTGAGTAAATTTATGAAAAATACAGTTATAATATAGATATGTAGCTTAATGTCATTTAAGTACTTAATGTCATTTATGTAACTTAAGTACCTTCTTAATTAATTAAAAATAAAAATTCCTGTTTGGTTTTCAGCTATACAGGCATGGAGCACGCACTCCTGACAAGACGTACAAGAATGATCCCCACAAAAACGATTTCCCCGAAGGACTTGGAGAACTTACAAATGTAAGTCCGTATTTAGATTTAGATTAACTATTTGAGTAGATGTATTTAACAGATGAATACGCACACTAAAACAAAGCCACACTCAACCATAGATTAAATAGAAAAGAGTAGGTTTATTTTTTACTCAAACACCCTGTTAGAAGTTCTCTCTGATTACTATGTTCTGCCTGCCTTTTGTGCACAAATCATATGTTTTATTATATTGTTAATACGCTATTTACCTTTTTGTTTACATTTTGTCAGTTCTTAGAAAATCACGATCATTAAACCATCTCTTAAATTTATCTTTTTATTGTATAAATTTTACTATCTATCATTAACACGCCCTCTTTTTTAATTTTGAACGAAAATAATAGGTGTTTTAATATTATGAACTAATGTCATACGCTAAATTTGAAGTGTCGAGTATTTTTTTTTGTTTTTCTATTCAAGTATCTGTGTTTCTAGGAGGGCAAACGCCAACATTATGAGCTAGGACAGTGGCTACGTCAGCGATATGACGGCTTATTGACAGATAAGTACAGCCCTGCCTTGATACATGTGTTGGCCTCAGACAAAGACAGGGTGCTGATGAGCGCGCAGTGCAATTTGGCGGGAATGTACCCGCCAAAAAGTGAACAAAAGTGGAACCCAATGCTGGAGTGGCAGCCAGTACCAGTTCACACTGTACCTCAGACTATGGACAGGGTAAAATGGTTTTATGTTTATTTTATGATGATAATATATTCCTTGAGTGATCATAACTAGTAATTTATTTATTTATTCGTCTATATATCAATTTATTTTCGCAACTGCAATGAATCCGCCAGGAATGGTAAAATATTATTATATTTTTAGGTTACAATAAAGTTATATTGGCTGTAAAACATCAACGAATTAGTTTGAGAAATTTTTTCATGTGTTCACGTTGTAGAAATAAAGTGTTTTCTTTTGGTTTCTGAATATTAAACATGCTGTTAAATTTACGTAGAAAAAGAAGGAAGAGTCGAACTGTTGTATGTTACAATCTTAAATGATATTAAAACAATATTGTATTTTTGTACATTGTACATTTGTACATTGTTACATTGTAATTTTAGTTTTATGGAATAAATTATGTTTGATTTGATTTGATTGATTAAAACACTAGCTGTGTGTCCGTTCTACGGACTTAATATATGTTACTAACGCTAACAAATGGAAATAGATTCATTGATATTACTGTCTCAAATTTAGATAACGTCAACTGATTAAGAAACATATTTTGATTTCTGCGACAAGGTAAAAGAGTTGCATCAGTTATATATTTTATTTGTATAAAACCACAAAAAAAAAAACATATAAAATTTTAATTTTTTTTAGTGTTTTTTACATTAATTGATGCAAAATTTATTCCAGCTTATAGCAATGAAGGAAAAATGTCCAGCATATGACAACGAACTAGCACGCGTATTGGAATCAAAGGAAGTGAAGGATATAAGTAAGAAATACCAGTATATAATAGACATACTAAACAAAAATACAGGAGAAACAAGAGATGATTGGAAGTATATATCCAATATACACGATACTTTAAGGGTTCAGGTTTGTATGTTGTGAACAATCTAGCTTTCTAAGGTTAAATCGTATTAAAAAATATTAATTAAAGTAAACACGTCTGCCTTAAAAAATAAGGCTGCAAATGGCACAGAAAACATGTACCAATTAAATATTGAATGATCATAACAACTATAAGACTGATTAATTTTGATGTTTGCCTTATAAATCTCATTAAAATCAATGAACCTCCTAATGTTTCATGCATATAATTGTCAAAAAGAATCTGTTCAAATCACATTGTTTCCAAACGTTTACAAAATATTTTAATAATATTTATGTACAACTTTCTATTAACTTGTACGTTACAGAATTAAATGTAGAATGTCTTTACTAGAAAATCTGTGAATCAATATTCTGTGTTAAGTGATAAATCAATCAGATGTTTGCTATGATACTGCATTGGTTTTAATTAATATTCAACCTAATGCACTAGTAAACTCTGGTGAGATGGCCCTGATCTTCATCTATTTTCTTAGCATCAATCTTTCATATCACATGGGAAGTCTATTCTGTGTATAGTCAATGCAACTAACAAAATAACAGCGGTTATCACCTCTTCAACAGTACAAGTGTACATTTGTAAATTGATACATATTTTTTCAAATTAACAATGCTAATCAGATAAACCAATTCAACGCAAGTTTTATTGTACTAACGTATAAATGGACTAGTTTTTTATAGGTCTATCTGGTCTGAGAAGTGAATTTAATGTTACGGAAAGAAACGTTCAGCTCCAGTAGTACTTCATCAACATGCCATATTGTTTTACCTCCTTTAGATGTTTTGAGCAAAAAATGAATATAAAGTTCTTATGATTATTTTTATATTTAGAATGAGCACAACATGGCCTTACCCAAGTGGTCAAAGGATATTTTCCCTGAGCCAATGGGAGAAGCGTCTGTCCTCAGGTTCCATCTACCAACTTGGAACACCAAACTTGCTCTTCTATTGGCTGGTAATTTGTACGATTCTATAAAAGTATTATTTTCATTTACTACTAGCTACATATTAAAGGTCTTTTTACTCACATGACGAACATTCAGGGGCAAAGAACATTGCAGGAGGCTACTCATAAACCTACTTTTATCATTGGACTAGTGAGGGGGTTTAATTAAAAATGCATGTACCCTATAGGGTTTTTTAGTATCTACTCGAATAATTTGGGGAAAGGAAACCTATTACCTGGAAAGTTTTTGTATTTGACGAGTCATATATAAATTGTAACAATTATTCCAGTAGCCAATCTAGTACTTCAGAGTTAGGCGCGCATTAACAGGGTATTGCATTATTTGGATGAAAATAACCGAGACAAGTCCTGTAAAAGAGTCAAATGGTTAGTTGGTCTTATATTGATTCATTTATTAACAAATTAAGTGTTGTATACAAATAATACACAATAAGCTTTTTAATTATTATTTGAAAATGGAAATCTAGTTAAACGTAAGATTGTTAAACGTTAAATAACAACATGAGTAACAAAAGTAACATCAGCAATGTATACCAGATGTTGTATAGCTGATAAGTTAAAACAAGCTACCTTTTTGGGCAGGCATTGAACATGTGAACAGATAAACAGGAATTTTATATACCTACTTTTACTTTACTCTCTATATGAACATAATTTCTAAGCAGCTTTATAAGCAAATTACTGATACATATTATCTCAAGGAAAAATACCAACATACGAGATAAGCCCTTGCAATTATCAAAGAGAATATGTTTTTTTCTAACCCACCCTTTTTATTTTTCTAAAGGACCGTTGCTTGAAGATATGGTGAAAAACGTGGAAAACAAAGTGAACAGTAACATTACAAAGGTGATGCAAGTATATGCAGGTCACGACACGACCATCATCAACCTCCTGAACCTCCTGGGTGTGTGGGACAAAACGATGCCTCCTTACGCATCCTGTATCATGCTGGAGTTGCGGAGAAACAGTGAAGGAGAGTATTATGTCACGGTAAGTCCACGGATAACGTCAAATGAAGTATTTCCTTTTACGAGTTTTCAAAACTCAAATCTGCTTTTTCAACGTCAATTCTCAATAGTTCACCAAAATAAAATTCTAATCCATTGACTTCAACGCCTTCTTGGGCCTAAAAATGCCCTGAGGCTTGGGGTAAAACTAGAATCCAATCTTTGATTCATCCCCGAACTGAACAATGCAAAAACAAAGCCTACTACAGTACCTTTTGTTGCTCAGATAAAAATGTAAGCACAAACATAAACACATGTTTCAGCTGTTTTACCGTACCTCGGCCAACGCAGAGCCTCGCCTACTGAAGATTCCTGGATGTGACGAAGTATGTCCCTTGAAAACTTTCGTTTCTAAAACCAAGTCTCTCATCCCTCAGGACTGGGATAAGGAGTGTAAGGATGTGAAATAAAACTCTACCTCACATGATTAGGTATTATTCTGGGTAACACATTTTCCTTCAACTGCTCTTCATTATCGATTTGGGATATGTGGGTGATCAAAAACAATAAAGTAGATTGACGTATGAGTCATATGGGGCAAGTTATGACTGCTTTAAGGTATGCAGTTGATCTCGAACCAACAATATCTGGCTTACAAGCCCAAAACACTGCCTCTAAACTACCACGTTTGATTAACAACTTTGATAACGTCGTGATAACACTTTGAACACAACACATTCTAGTCGTACAACAAAGTAGTCTTTTTTGAGCATATATCAACACGCATAACTCTTTTGGCCTACAAGTCATCATCAATCAACTCCCTTTACTATTTCCTGCATAAAACCAGGTACATCTAAAATATGGAAAATATCCATCTAAATTTGCCTTTTAAAGCACTAACATGATAAGGACACATGCTATTTTAAGAATCACAAGTGATGTAATGATGAAAAATATTGGTAATGTTTAATCATTGGTATTGCTTTTTTAAGGCTTAACAACTAAATAACGTGGGACAGCTAGAAAGTTATAAACACTTTTTGTACGAAACAAGTGATTTCAACCGGTGTTCAGGAAAGAATAGCGCCCTTCAGCCCCTAAAACAAGAGAAAACAAACCTAAGTTGAACTCCAACTTCTCAAGTGAGCAGTTTGTACATTTCTTGTTCGAGTTTCAGAAACAGCAGAAAACTTTGTTCACTCAATTCTCTTGGTACATTTAGTTTTACTTTGTCGAAATCACTTTCAAAATTGCCAAAAAATACTAAATATCCCCCCTCCTCTAATGTATTTATACTTCATAACTAATTTTTAATATAGAGGTTGCGTGCCCCTTTTACTACTGCCTAAGATTATCAAAATTGTTCCTTTACTCAACAAAAAATCATGTATGTCTATTAAGAATGGAACCCTTCTATACAAAACACTTCTACGCCCACCAAGAAATCTTCATGTAATTAAGTATATAGATTGATATCAATCCAAAATTAGGAAAATAATTCACTAGAAATTTTATTATGAGTATTTATTACAAGAAAATACATTACACAGATTACACAATATAAAAATTAAGGTGGTATTTTAAACATATACAAAAACAATAAAATACAATCATAGACATACAATATAGCTCAAGAGAAATTAAAAAAATAGTCCATAATTTCACTAAACGATTAAAACAAATTGCACTATAAAAACAAATTTGGCCAAGATAGGAGACACTGATCATTATAAACGACTTAGAAAACATTACGTAAATAACAAAAAAATATTTTAAGTTTAGGTATGCCAATTTCGTTAGAAATTTTATGCATGTCATCATTTTTTTGGAGTTAACAGAGCTCAAACTGGAAAAAAAATATGTTTTGACACGTTTTAGCAGTGAAGTAAAATAATCATAGTAAAATTAATTAACTTAGGTGTTAATGTCGTGAACAATTTAAGTGATAGCCTGCAGATTAAATATAAAAATTGGTTTTGATTACTCTACCTTTTGAAATCCAACAGTGCTCTCAGCAACCAATCTTGGCAACCTTTTTTTCAGCAGAATATGGCAACGATAAACGTATGCAGTCACAAATAGATTTTCCGAAAAAAGTTACTAAATGTGATTTATGGATTAGTGTGGGCAACAAACTATTTTCAATATCTATTAAAAATATAATAAATAAACACTAATAAATACAGTCGAATTTTGTAATCACTCCAGAAATCCTGATGCCCGTTACTTCTTGAGACATCACACTCGGCGTTCCAGTCCTCCGGTATGACAGGACGAGTGATGTTGATGAATTGGTCCAAGGGACACAGTGGAGAACACCCCGCGACTGTCAGGAGGTAGGGGTCTTCTGTAGTAGAGTTTCGGTAGTACAACTGTCAACACGAAGGTTACAGTATATCACACTAAATATTTTGCATGGACCAGTGGTGATGCAAATTAGTATACTCAGGACAAAACTAGCACACATTTATGATGGGTGTGTTTGGATTAGAATAAAATATTTTAATACAAATATTCCTTCTACAAGCGTGTATGGAGTTTAAAACAACTACCTATGTTAATAAGAAAACTCATAAAAACCTTTGTTTTACATTTAATAACTAAAATATCCTTATCTGGAATAATGTTTAAGAAACATGAAAGTTGTTGTATTACTACGAGTTAATTACTAATTTAGATTAAGTCAACACCCATTAACTGCTCTAATGTTTTAATTTACGTTACATTCCAAGAGTGCCACCATTGACTAAGGAAATATAAGTTTCCCTTGTCTGTGGTGTAACATAGCTTTAGAGAACCCTTCCTCACCCAACAAAAAGGATGACTGAAACATAAGAATTGTAATCCAGATCACTATTACAAAGTCCAAAACCAGCGTATTGGTAGATCTTCTGTAAATATCATTAAAACACAACTTTAATGAAGAAATACTTAACATACCGAAACAAAGTAGCTTCCCTTCGTGTCCACCTGGAGCTCCATCATGACACAGGCCGCGTACGGGGGAAGGGCGTGGTTAAAGGCTCCAAGAGTGTTGAGGAGGTTGGCAATTGTCTCGTCATGGGCTGTATACACATGGAGGTTCCTGGTCGTCTTGTTTTGCGCCTTTTCCATCATGTTGGATATCATTTCTTGGACCAATAAACCTGCGCAGAGATTGTTGAACTGAATGGAGGAAACGTTCATAGTATGTAACGAAGATTAAATACAAACCGTGGTAGATTTTAGTTTAACAGCCATCATAGCATACTCTTTGGTAAGTGTTTATAAAAACTAGAGCATTGAATGGACCACCACTATTTCTTTCTGGAAGAAGTTAATAAACAGCTTAGGTTGATTTCTTTCATTACATCTCATTTCATAGAATAAAATTAAGAAATACGTCGGAAAACAGATATTTGGAAGTACACTCATGGATAAAATGAAAAAAAAAATTCTTATAGCATATTACAATACTTTTTATATTCACGGCTCTTCAACGGGAAATGTATTCTATCTATACTATTATACAATTTAGGTGGTGTCCGTCTGTGTGGCTCTCACGACTAAAACACTAAATTGATACACCCAAAATTAAGCACAAAGATGGGCCACATATATCTAGAAATGTCTTAGGCTATTCACCTCCCTGAGTTCCTCTCGGGCTACGCCGATTGTATGTCCAAAGTTTAGAGGTGAGGTTTTCAAAAGTACATATTAATTGGTCTCCATGGGGAAATTCACAATGTGTACCATAGCGTTGAAATTTCAATGTAAACAACCAGAACTGGCAAATGCTTGTTTCACAATTTCAGACAGCTGATCCAAACAAATGAAATATAATATTTTACACAAATCTATACGGTATGAAAATTTGTCAATGATTATTTATTCTAAAACTATGTAGTTGATTATGGAAATAAAAGAAGGTTCTATAACCCTTGCTGTATCAACCCAGAGATAGTATTAACTAGGCTATCAAGATATGTTATTATACATTAAAGGGAGCACCCGTTTTTCTAAACTGAATTTGCTTTCTGTTGCGAAGCACGGGTACAGATCTATGTTATAAAGAGTGATCGAGAATTTTGCATTTTATGCTCAAATAATTGTGCATTTTAACTTACAATCCCACAACTACCTTGAGCCGAAATGAAAAGAAAAGATCACCAATATGCTGTGAGTCCCTATTTTGCTTCAGAGCTAACAATAATTTCATGTAACCAACAGAAAACGTTAATACAAACATACAGTTTTCTTTCCACTGAGATGAGAAGTCTACTTGTGCTATTCAAAAGCAATGTGTCAAAGAAGTAAAAAAATGGGAATTTAAAAAGTTGTGTGGGAGAGATCAACTGAGAATTGCATGAAATGGCAAGATCTGCAATAAGTGGCCTTGAATAAGTGGAGCAGATGGATCAAAGGCATGAGGATGATGTTTCTTTACACCTCCTCCCACCTTTGGATGAATACAAATTAAGTAAAAAAAGTAAGACGAGAAATACCATTTTGAAAAATTGAAGAAAGAATTGAACTTTTATTTTTGACGTGATCCTAATTTCTTACCGTTCATCAGTCTAGCTAGTTTGGGAGTCCAAGTTACAATCATGTAGTTGAAAACATTGGCTTCTCTCATCGGCTCAGGAAACACCTTAGTGGTCCACGCTGGCAGGGTTAGGTTGTGCAGACTCTGAAAAATTCAGTTTCAAGAATTAGGAATGAATACACGTCTTTAAAAAAATAAACAATCTTAAAACTTAGAAATACATTCTTAGCTTCGTCAGAAGGACTTTCTGTTTATCCTACCAAGTAAACTTCTTATACAATCAGGACATCAAACTTAGAGATAGTCGATAGCAGCATACGCAAAAGAAAAAAAAAATTGGCACAGAAGATGAGAATGACACAAATAAGTTAGGTTAATATATCGGCGTACTTAAAACCTTATCCAATAAAAATTAAGGTAAAGTATAAATGATAAAACATCCTACCTCTATATATAGCGTGTCATACAAATTGTACAAAGTCAACAAATCGAAGTTTGTTCCTAAATTATCATTCGTCCATTTTAATAGATCGGCGTATGTTTGGTTCAACTGTTTGATTTTCTCATCAGTTGCAAACACTCTGTAAAGTTCTTCTTCATACGCAGGACAAGGAGATCTTGGAGGCTGTGCTAAAACCTGCAAAAGAAAAATTGAAATATAAGTTTGGACATATTTTTTATACATTTGACTATATAATATTTAATTTACTATATCAATAGGGGGGTTTATATGACGTCGTAGTATTACTCTGATGGGTATTGTATGACGTCCGAATTTGATTGATTATGAATGTAATTTGATAAATAATTAATTTTATTTCTATTTGCCTTGTACATTTTTTGACATATTTGATTTATAATATGATCTTGATCGCGTTGAGTATATTATCAGGATCTTTTCGTGGTGTATATAATGTAAAATTCTCCTGTAGTAAATACTGTTTCTTCATACAGTCTACGTATCTTGCTTTTCCATTTTGTCTTTTACTCCTATAATAAGAAACTATATTTGTGACACTGCAACTAACTGGAGGGAAGGATACAACGAATGGACGTCATCATTGACCACGCTCACCGGCAGTAAAAACACAACTTCAACGCTAATATGCAAGCTCCGCTTAATGTGCACCTACTTTGAATGTGTGTGTGTGTGTGTGCACTTTTTAGTTTATTATTTGTGTTGACGGCCTTCAAATGAAGTGAAATAACAAACGCGATCAAGAGACTATAGTTATTTGTGCAACTAGTGAGAAAAGTGAGCAATTGACTCACTCGAGAGAAATCCTTACTCACGAGCCGTAGGCGAGTGAGGAATGGTTTCTCGAGTGAGGCAATTGCACTTTGAACTCGAGTTGCACATTATACTTTTCCTACAGTTACCAAAAAACAAATAAATTGGTGAAGAAACATAACCTATTTTTACACAGAAGTGAACTTTTAATATAACATTTAATGTGAAGTGACAAATACAACAGTACAACAGCTGACCAGCTGATTTACAGCCAGTGCTGCCAACGTATTTCGCGCGCATACGACGTTGCCTGCTGTTACGCGCTCACTATTTCGTGCCTTCACGTTGCAAATCTGGAGTGAGACAAAGTAATTAGAGTGAGACAATGTTAACATTGTCTCACTGATGAGCGAATTGGCCACTTTGCTTTCTCAAATCAGTGAGAGAACATGGACATTGTTAACTGTAGGAAAAAGTTAATTACATCTCAATATTACCTACCGCGTCGAGAAACAACGGTCTCGTGTGCACAGGGATGGGTTGCCATGTCAGATTCTCCCGCCATATCTGCGCTCCCTCTGGTGGGTACATTCCCGCCAAAAGACAGTCTGCACTCATCAGGGTGCGGTCCTTGTCAGTGCTCTGCACGTAGATCAAGTCAGGGCTATAGTGGTCTGTCAGCAAGTCGCTGTACCTCTTGTGCAGCCACTGGCCGAGCTCGAACACTTGTTGTTTTCCTAGCTGTCAAAAATAAATCATGTTCAACTACGTAAAACATTCGTTATGATAGACATAATGTTCTATTGGTAACAAAGATTCAACATAAAATATACGGCTTCAAATTATGAAATTTTATAAAAGGGAGAGAATAGTTAAAACCTCGTTGTTGCCCTGAATTGTAGAAAAAAAATGTTACGTAACTCCAATCTTCAATTTGTAAAATGTTTAGTAAAACATTAGCCTGTTAAAATGATTTGTATTTTAAAAAGTCTATTCTTTGTTCCATCATACCCTGAAAATGATTGATTAACTTCTTCTTACAACTAAAAATATATACTATTGTACAAGATATTAGTTTGAACCTGTTTCAAAGTATGACCAATAAAGACTGTAAGAACGTAAAAAAAAAAAAATGTTTGACTAATGTGTTATTATATTTTGTATTGTGATACTTACATTTGTCATCTGACCCATGGGCACCGGCCAGTAGGAAGCATTCTGGTACGGGTCATTCGGATAAAAGTAGGCCGGAGTTCTGGCACCATGTCTGTGGAGCTGGCAGTTAAAAGTTTAATATTCTGTAACGATTATAAAAGCTACCACTAAGTACATTGTGACTAAAAATGTATTATATTCGTATTTTATTTCTCTAATCGGGCAGACAATTCTGGTGTAGAAAAAGTATAAAAAAAATGAAGGTAAAGTGGTACAAAATTGTCAGACATATCATCTTGAAAATTGACCCATTTCTCTAGATGTCCGAGAAGCTTACAAGTAACTTACATTTTGTTTTTGAGTACATTCACTACTATACAATTGCAGCCCAATTATAATACTAAAGTTGTATCCAGAAAATAACAAAAAGTCGAACTCGTGTGCTGCTTCGAAAAATGCAGGTTTAGTTTACCAATGTCATGATAATGCCATGACTGAAAAGATAAAACACTTAGAACTGTTGCATGTGGAGTCACTTGAAACACAAGTGAAAGTCTAGTCACCATGAAGATGACACTCTATGTGAAGGACACGTTAGAGTGTAGAAGCACAGAAAACATGGTAATAGTAGTGTGTTTTCTGTGGTAGAAGTGATCTTGTTGGCTCTAATACATCTTACAGGGATGCGGAATACTAGTCCCCGGAAAACTACCCCACCAGATGAAACATGAAGTTACAAAATGTGCCAACTAACCAATATGGGATCCGTGTCCATGAATGAAATACTAACACCCCCCCCCCCTAACTAACATGCTATGTAATTGTAATATTTATATCGAGTAATTCCGTTTGATATCTGAAAATATTTTTCAAGCACACACGTCGTCACCCGTGGAACACGATTCTATACGAAAATATAAAACCATAAAGTTTGATTTGAGGCATTACAATTTAGCATACTGCCCGTCCTGTAACTCATATATACCAAATGCATATACTGTACTTTTTTACCTCTTTGCTAGAAAACCTTAAAAATATACGGAACTACATATCAGCTGTTATGTGAGTACAAAAGGCAAAAGTTAAGGTTAAGTTAATAAAGGCAAAACAAAATAAACGGTACCAGCAATCTGCCCATACTTTCTCCCATTAACTTGTGAACAATCTTTATCATGCGTAAGCGGTGAGAGTAACTATGATATTTTATAGGGAAAATGTATGTAGCATGTACAACATTTGTTTGAGAGATTTAAGTAAATAAAATATAATATTGGGTCTCATATATTCACTGGCTTCAAAAATATACCTCGCCGAAAAATACTGCGCGCTCAAAAACTACAAGGTTATTATTATTAATAATCTACAACCCTTAGATTATTACACATAGTAAATATGTGACATTGATATTTTAAATAGCAAGTAAAAGAAACCGAACACTGAGGTCATGCAAACAAACCATCCTGTTATTAGTTAACATCTTGTGCCAGACACAATTTATTTAAATTGAGGCTGTTTAACATTAAAAAGTTGTATACACACATAAAAAAGCGGTGGTTTTTAATTTTGGTAAAACTGCTAACGTTTGTACAGGAAATGTAAAAATAATCTTACTAGGAGTAGGATTGCTTACGTAACCACCTTAAGAATTTATAACATCTTGATTTAACATGAACGACTCTAAGGTCTATTCAACCTAAAGACGTGGGGTTTCACATGAGGTGATTTAGGCCTGTGTGGTGAGAGGGGGGGGGGGTAAGTAAGACAAATGAGGGGTGAGTTCTACCGTGAAAATCACCAACCCAATCAACTCAGCTACCTTTATCAATCTTCACCCGACCATGGTTCCTGGCATGGGGCTTTACACTGAGCGTTCACTTAGCAATTGCTTTGACAGGGCTGCATTGCATGATCAAGTAGATCTTAAAATAAACTTCTGTAACTAAAATCATCGTGGTGGAAAATGGAAATAGAAACACTTCATTGCAGTAAGCTAACTTACTTCATATGTTTTGGGTTGTTGGAAATTTGCTCGAAATATTGCTCTTGAGCTCTAGCCCCTATACCTTAGAGGTAACTAACCAAGACTTCACAAAATAAGAATAACAATAAAAAGAAGTAGTAATTACATGTAACATTTACAATATACGAAGTCTCATACAATAAGTTTTACAAATAATTCAGAAGCAGATGTTTCTTTTAAAATGTAATACGTATTTATATGTTTTCTAATAAAAATTAGATTTCTCGTGTTCTACTCATGAAAACCTACATAGATAAAAGAAAATATTAAACCAATTTTAATGAATGGTTCTGATTTTATTTAAATACCCTACACTCATTGAATGTGATTTCCATTATTTATAGACCCTAACAAGTATTACTCGTACATCAAGCATACCTAACAAGCATACTTCTTTGGGTTTGTTTATCGTATAAAACAATAAAACAAACAATGTGAGTAAGAGATGGCACTTTAATTTCCCAAAGTTCACTTAATTTATAAAATAAGCCTACAACACTACTGATAGTAATTTAAGCATTTCCTTTATGATGGATAGTTGCTTTTGTGACATCTGATTTATTCTCCTGACGGAGAAGATTTTTGAAAGATCATTCTAGTGAATCAATAGATTATACAGATTTTCAAACCATCTCGACAGAATCCTTGGGCAACACTTCCTTGTACGGTAGAATTTTAACATTTTCAAGTCGATTCACTCTTCTGTACCGGAGACAGTAGGATAGTCCGTTTCCAACAGCAATGAACGCAATTTTGAAGAACATTTGATGAACCCTTGATTCGACCAAGCAAAAGATAATTTCATGAAACACTTTTTCGATTGTGCTCTTGTGCCTTTCGAAGAACTCCATGACTGATACGACAACCCCGTTATTTGAGGACAGTTTCAGTTCTGTCTTACACTGACTACAGGCCGGTGTACTGAAAGGCTTGGTGGATTCTTGTTCCTTGATCCACAGTAGAATACAGGATTGATGAACCCATTTCACACTTCCAGAACACTTACAGGGAGAAACCCATTCTCCATCCTCACTATCCCCGTAGCAAATGTAGCATTGGCGCACCTCGTCACTCATATTAGCGAAATTTGGAAAATACGTTAAGTTATTGCGAAAGTATTATTTAGTTAAAGTTGTTGATTAATAATGATTGTAAACAAAAAACATATGAGGACTTGATCAAGTTTAATGAAAAAGGCTTGAATGTAACAACTATATAAAATTAGGCATTTTCTTAGATTATTGTTGTGAATTAAACCTTTAACTTGAAATAGTGTATGGAAGCCTTTTTTGATGTGTGTTTCATCTTGGTAATAATTGATCGCGGGGACTTTTGCTAAATTTTATCTGCTATTCGAAGGTAATTGTTTTAGCGAGTACTCTTAAAATGGTGAATCCTAATAACCAAATAAGTTAACTGTTTTACAATTATTTTTATTCGTAATTGATCTAACCCAAAATAATTAGTGAATATCAACTAGCTATCTACATACACAATTATCTTGATGTTGTCTTAAGCTTATCTATAAGGATTTAAGGATTTTAAATCAAAAAGGGAATACGCTTAGTCACAATTTTAAGAATGGGCATTGATAAATAAAAAAATGTGCACAGTTCAGTTGTGAAAATCCACAATGATTTGAATGCAGTTAATATAGTCATAATTTAAGCTGAATGAGGTTTAATGTATTAGTCACGTTAAGGATCGCAGACTCAGTGCGGGGCTTCTGTTTGCTTTCACGTATAATTAAATCCACAAACACATCCCAAAGGAAATTTATTTACACAAGTTTAACCTTTGCGCCACCTCACATGTTTAATCAAGATTAAATAAGAGCGTCTTTGAGTTACCAATGTTACTTTATCTGTTTCCAACTTTTGTTAGGTTGCAACACTGATTTTACGGTCGTGTTGTATTGGGTGTTGAAAATAATTACACAATTTCAATCAGTGATAAAAGTTGTCGTCATCGTTGGTTGTCGTAAGTGACCCTACACTACTCTAGGATCTTAAGTGGATTTACGTTTCTTTAGTTTCTAGTTTTCTTGCGTGGTCAAAGTAATTTATTCTTTGCGGTCAGGATATTAGTTTACATTGTAGTCTGTTAACATGCAGTTGTTCGGAATATCATATTCATTTCAGAAAACATCGCAGGAAAATAAATGAAATCATTGATTTTTTTAGATCAGTAAATGGTATTTTAAAGAACAAGGGCAAACACCGATTGATACTGAAGATATTTTTTTATCGTAACCGTAAATACAACATAGTTTATGTGTTCCTGATAATTGAGGCTTTAAAAATGACCTATGACAGTAACAGCATAAAATTGAATTTGAGGCATTTATAATTTGATTTTATGAACAAAACTATTTTTTTTCGATTAGTAAACCTTCATTATTGTCAATCAGAAGCCTCTGTGCTCTGGCTCTAACTGACACTGTTGGCAAAACTAATCCTGAAATAAAACTTTTGCATCCTGGCCAATGAAACAGCTGATCGTAATCAGTAACAAAGCAACACAGATCATCTCACACGCTATATTTTACGCTCATATTTTACTCTTTTAGGTTAAAAATACGCACCTATCCCATCGATCTCTATTATGACCTATCCCTCCTACCTATCAGCTAGGGAGCTGATTGTCCCTATCTCAATGATTGATCATTGATAATTATGTACCTTGATCATAGTAATCCTAAATTAAAACCCCTGTAGTTTCATTGAGAAGAAACCCCATTTTGTAAACTAGTGTATAGAGTAAAACCATTACAAGTAGACTCATAATTTAAATTTAAACGCTCCAGTTTTATCAAGTGATATAATGTAGACCAATATGGTTTTCCTGTATGATATCAGAAGACACGTGCTATAGTTTTAAGTGGATAGTGTTATTTGTTTAAAATAGTTTTGATGTTAAATTATAAGAAGTGTAAATTAGCATTCAGAAAAACTTAAAATGGTAAATTAAACCTTACGTTATTGCAGTTTTATCATCTTTATGGGTTGGAATATAGGTCACCCCGGATTTTAAACAGGGCGTTTTTTGTTCTCTACAATTATTTCTTATTAACCAATAAATTAAATTAACATTTAATCAGGCTTGTTCTCTGGTAGTATGACCAAAGATTGATATACCCAAGACTAAGACTATATACCCAGAAGTAAGAGTGAACCATTTTGGTGACATCAGAACAGTGAAAAGTAACCAAATAAACTCACAATACAATACAAAATACTTCAGAATTACAATAGAAATGCAATAGCTATACTTGTACTATTCTGTGGCAATTCTCTAAAAACACAGAAAAGGAATAATTACTTCTGTCCTAAAATTTAAATGAACAAAAATGTCTATGTTAAATCTAGAAAGAACGTTACTGTCACTGGGACAAATGGGTTTAAGAAGAGTGAAGATTTTCTTATTGAACTATATTTGGAAGGAAACGCTTTCAGACTTAAGGAAAAAACTCCTTTCCTCTCAACTGATGAAATATTAATGTGGTCCGATACTGCCATGTTGTATGTTAAACTGACCACAGTGTGGCACATTTTCACGTGAAATCAGTGACTTCCTTCCACCATAGACTAACCAACACAAGAAGACTTCTCATGCCATTGTACATTTTGAAGCTCGTTTTTCGTGACTAGTTCATGTCCGGTGACACTGATCGCTAGGGTTGACAAAGTTATGTTTATATTATTTTAGGGTTGATGATTTGCACTGTAATGTTTGGTATATAACCAGAGAACCAGTTATTGTTTATGATTGGATTGTTTTATTTGGTTAAACGAGGTTTTTGAATTACTGAAATAAGAAACAAATTGTAAACAAAACACGACCTATACAGTGCACCGGACAGAACTAACAATAACATTTGTCTTGCTGGTCCATCTGTATGATAAATCTACTAAGGTCGTATGTTTTCTCTATGCTTTCAATTTGTTTACTTTATTTGGCAGACAGGTGACTTACTCTTATATTCTGTTCACAAAATTTAGGCAGTTTAGAAGACCCCCCTACTTATTTTTCTTTGCAGCTGATTGGCGTTTTGGCGAAACACAGCTTTTGTGCTGTGTTTTTAAAGCTAGGATTAAGTTTTTAAGGGAATTTTTTGTGAACAGAAAACCTGGTGTCACCATTTCATAATGCTAATAATACTGCAACATTATACTGTAATTAAAATTGCAAAGCTGCAAATTAAAAATCTACCTACCCACCGCACTTATCCTAATACAATCATGCTTATCAAGCTTGGTAAGAAATGTAAAGTGCTAAACTATGAAATACTCATTATTTGCTTTAGAGATTTGAAGTTTGTGGTAATGCACTAACACTAGCTTTTAGGGTCCATATACCGTATCAGTTCTTAAGATAAAAAGTAGTGTTTCTCTTAAAGGGGATCATACTCGTAGTTAAAACGAATCCACAGTTTTGAATATATGACAAAACTGACGTAAAATAAACTATTACAATAACAACGACAGCTTTAATTAAGTATTTATTTAATATTTAAGATCAAATGGATGGACTTAGTGGTTCAACTTCATTCTACCATGATCTTATCATCGATTATCCTCCGTAAAGTAGCGTAGTTAAAACCTAGTGATAGGGAAAAACCTTCAGGTTTACCTTAAAACAAAAATAATTATCCTTTGAAATAATACACTTTAAAAATACATTATCAACTTCGATACGAATAAATAAAATTTTAAATTGCGAATCATCGACCATAATAAGGCAGAAGCAAAGTATACATCTATAAAAGAGCCTGACTTTAAATGGCATGCTCAACATATAGTGCAATAGACTAACCAACACAAGTAGACTTCTCATCCCATTCTAAATTTTTAAGCTCGATTTTCAAATATAGTTCATGTTCGTGACACGATTTGTGCTTTAAAATTTGTTTATATATCTAAGGGACGAATTATTGTTTATGATTAGGTCGTTTTATATGGTTGGATGAAGATTATAATCACTCAAATGACGAGAAACAAATTGTAAACAAAACACGACCGCTAGAGTGCACCAGACGGAATTAATAAACAATAAAATTGTCTTCACCTGATCCTTAAGGATCTACAAACTAAGGGAGAATTTTTTATCTATGATAGTACTTACCACGTTAACAAAAACAACTTTGTAGGGTTCATTTTCATTTTCAACTGCACTTGACGAAGCCAACGAAACCGCGAAAACAACAAACAATATCCGTGACTTAGACATTGTGTCACTTCACTCAAACACAACCTAACACATGTGTGCTAAAACAGCTGGCAAACAAAGTCAGCTGATAGAGTGGATATCTTATCATTCTACTCTATTATATAACGTTGAGCCATGACTTTTCAGATAGGCTACATTAACCAAGGTAAACGCACCAGTAGCTGACAGTATAAGAAACTATACGCACTTAATAATGAATAAATAGGAACTAAAGAGATATTAAGGATTTTATGATTCTAAATTTTGTGTAGTTTTTAAATTTGTGATACAAAAAGGGGTTTTTAAATATATTTTATAACATTTTTAAACTTAATTCAACCTTTGTACGTGTTCCAGTGGCTGACAGTGAAAAAAGTGCTTGTACCAGTAGCTGACTGCCAGTTGTCCCAGTAGCTGACACTGGAACTATGTACTAGCTGTTAAACCTAAGGGTTTTATAATTTATAAGAGAAATTTAATCTAACTTAATAATTAAACTATAAAATCATGTAAAACGTTTTTAAGAAAATTTATTTTACATATTTTAAAATAAAAATATTTACATTAAAAAATATATATACTGTATATTTTAAATATATAAAATATACATTTTTTTAAAGATAATTTGGCTTATTAATTAAAAAATTAAAATAATTTTATAAAAATGTGATATCAGATAAATTATAAATAGCATGCAAATTTTGATGGGTAAAACCAATTTAATATTGTGCAAGTAGCAAATATCCCCTGTCAGCTATACTTGTATGGCTTTTGTGTACCAAAGCCTGACATTGATATAATTTTAAATCCATGACCCCTAACACCCCAATTTTATCATGAAATTGTCAACAAAGGTATAATTGATAAAAATATTGAGCCTAATCATTAATACTATTTAAGAAATTTAGCAAAATGACAAAAAACCAAACTTACCTTCTTAACAATTTAATTAGGTAATCGACTAAATGTGACGTGTACAGACAGGGTTGCTTTCAAACCACCTCACCATTCAGTGAGTATGGGCTTAATTTCACTGATTTGTTTGTAAACAAATCAAGAATAAACATATGTTCTTCTGACAATGCAATCATGTGTAAATATTTTTAAGAGACCACATTATAATGTAAAGAAACTCAAACTATCAGCTTCTGGAGCACTGTCAGCTACTGGTGCATTTACCTTACATAAATGGTAAAGGGTGACGGTGACACTGTATAGCATAGTTTAGAATCGATTGCTCTCAAAACACATTTTTAATACAGAACACATTATTGATTGATATTTAACTGTTGAATCATGAACGTTGGTAGATAAATTGTGCTGGAACACGTCATATTGAAGGATTTATGTTCTTGGAGGCCTTGAGTTTAAACTTAATTAAACCATGACTATTGTCTATGAGATCTACATGATACGGTGGTTTGGAGACTAACCTATAGATCCACCAAGATTGTAGACAGATCTTTAGGTTAGGAGGAAATTCTCTGTAATGGAAATCCTCTTTAATAAAAAGCTATATCATAGCTTCAATTTTGAGGGAAATTTAACGTTCATTTCTTGCACTTAGTAGCTACACTGACTTATACTTAATGTGACCTGATAATACTAATTGGAAACCCCCAACTTTAGTCTGGTTCAAACAAAGGAATTGTTATTCCGATTTCACTTTATAAATTTAATAAGATATAGTTATGAAAATCAAGATTTTTATGTCTTTATGCAAACTAGAAGTTACCCAAGGGCTTCACCCCGTTTGGCTTCAAAGTATTAATAAAACTATTGATTGGTTGGGTTAAAGCATAAAAGCCACTGACTATTGGATACTGAAGCTGAACTAAACAAAACAGAATACAGTAATACAAACAAATAATCACACCTGATTTTAATAAGGTAATAAATTGAAAGAATAACAAACAAAATAAGTATAGATGAGGTATTTCTAACATTAGTATATAAAGTTCTCTTTAGAAAGGAATTACGACCTTAAAGGGCAATTTTGAAATAACGGATAGTTTCGTACAAGGTTTCTCGTCATGACGAACGTTTTAAGTATATGTTGTAGATGTTTTAAGTTTGTGTTTATGGGGGTGTGACTTGTAGTTTTCTGAAAAGTTCATGGGTACTTTGGGATTTATATATGGATTTGTATGTTTTATAAAAATAAACACCTGGTAAAATTGTTAGCGATGTAGGCATGATCCAGCAAAATGCAGATTGCTGCAAAGATTGTAAAATATTCAACATTCATCTCATACACATGGTAATAATTTCCGACGACGATCCTTACTTATTCACACAAACATCTCATTCAATATAGGCTTCGAGATACTTGTGTCATAGGTTTTAAAGACAATTATGTTATAGACATTTTTTAAATCTTAACCAAACCTTATATATTTGTAGTTGTATGCATATATCTGTTAATATCGATGTGGCACAGTATACGGAAATAAAATACAGTGTCAGTAGTAAAGGTGCTAAATATTGTGTATTGACTCCTAAGAAAAATAATAATAATTGAAAATACCCCCACCGCAAGAAACCTGCACCTGGCCTTACAACCACCATTAATGGAATCGTCACAATGCAATATGAGTACACTGATTCCTTTATTTTTGTGCTTAACCGTATGAATCATGGGTAAGAACAACTACACAGAAATTGACTGTTTAAAAAATAATGTTTCTAAAAAGCTTAACTATTGTAAATTTACGAAGGGAAGAACTGAACAGAGCATTTTTCTCGTTTGTCCACCTCCGTGAAACCACTAGCTTAACATTGGAACATAATAATAGTTTGTAAACAAAAATTAAGAGTACATATCTTAACAAAATATGTAAAAATATATTTTTTTATTCTATGCTTTAACAATATTTTAGGTTACATCCATAATCATTAACAAAACCTCTCCAATAGGTTTGGTTTGCAATGCCCTCTTTTATAAAGCCCCAACATTCTCATATCCGGACATGGTTCCAAAATTTCCAAAATTTGACCTTATGCTTTCCAGGTGTCTTCTGCCTTCAGTAACATTTCTCAATATGTTTTAATATTGAGTTCTATTTTTCCCTCAAATGCTTCCTGCCATCATAACCATAGGGCTTTACAATTCCTCCCACTATATCTGAGCCATGCATAAGTACAGGGATTAAAAATTTAGTTTTATTCTCCAATTTTATATGTATTACGCAATAGGTAGCTGAAAGAGTTAAATCGCTTCATTTATTATCAACTAGCTGTTGTACCCGTACTTTGCAACGGGAAGAGGACACAAAATAGAGACATTTTATCTTTACATCTGTTGCATATAATCTGTTACACATCCCCCAATCAATAACATTATTTTCATAACTTAGACGCTTCAATCCAAAGCAGAGCCGGAGTTGATACAGCAACGGTTATAGAATTTTTTTCCATTATCATTGACATAGTTTTAGAATAAATAATCCATGATAAAAGGTTAGATTAAAATAAACCTACCTCATAGTTATATGGAAAATATTATATTTAATTTCTTTGTATCAGCTGTCTGAAATTGTGAAATTTTCAGTTTAATAGTTCTTCTTGTTTACATTTAAGTGTCAAAGCAAATGTAAACAAACATTGTTAGTGTTCTCATCGCAGCCATGGAGACCAATCAATATTTACTTATAAAATTTTCACCTCAGAACTTTTAAAGCCAAAGGGGCAAGGCCTACGGGCAGTATCGAAATGTGAAGAGTCCTATAATGGTCCTTGGTATGGTAGCTATATTTTTGTAAAATTTAAGCCCAGTTGGTTCAGAAGTTTTAGCACCTATTAGTAACACACATACAGACAGACACCATTAGATTGATATATAATACTACAATAGATAAGAAAGTTCCAATCAAAAGTGAGATTAAAATTTATTGACTCTATTTAACAGGACGCCTAGGTCAACAATCAGAAGGCAACGATACTGTGTTGCGGTATGTTTAAATGAAAATGTATACAATTCAAATATTTTCTGTAAAACATTTCAGGGACATTTATATAATACTCCACATGAAGTAAGAATACATCACCTGGACGTATCTTCTTGCAAAACTGCGCTTTAAAATATTCAACAAAGTTCTCATGTTCGGCGATATTTCTCGACGGCCGCCATACTTTATTCAGTCACAGCCTAGTATCAAAACAGACAAACGCGATACTATATGGAAAAGTGATAATAGTATTATTCACATGTTAAGTATTGGGATCAGTATTGAACAGTTAAACTAAGTTTTAACAATAAGTTTAAGGTATAGTTTTATTGGTTTATGAATGTACTTTGTATTTTTCGACATACATATTCTCATATTGATTATTATTTTTAAACACACTGGATTCTAATTATTAGTTACAAAACCAATCGTTGGGTGATTTTTTTGCTAACGTGATTTTTTGCTATCCCTTGCGCAAATGTTAAGAAGTTGCATTATAGTAATAGGAAAATCTGGTCTCAGTCTTCACCAAAATTAAACGTAAAGTATGAGTATTGTTGTTTTAATGCACTGAACTCAATTTCGCATGAAAACTTATGCGTTGACTAATTAACTTGAAGTGTAGTTGTGTTACAAGGTAAACCAAAAGAATTAATAACATTTTTAAGTTCGTTAATATATGCCAAACAACATTTTATGTTATAAATTATGGACTATTAAAAAATGCACACGATTGTAAATAAAGTATATTATTTTGAAACTTAAAATTAAACTTGCTATTTAATTGTTCATGAAATAATACCAATTTGTATAATCTGCATAATTAGTCGTAATATTTATCACTAGCTATTCCTAGTTAACATACAATAACTGTATACACAATAATGTAATCATTGGTAGCTATTATAACTATCACTTCCCGATGTAATATCAGCAAACAACAATGGCTCTAACACGTTTTCTGGTTCACAAAATCTAGATATGAATATTGGATAAAACTTGCACAACAATTTGGTTGAGCGGATTTATAAAATGAGTTGCCAATCCCAGATTACTGCGTCATTAAAGGAAACATTCATCATGTTATTAATT